TCTGATGTCTGTGATAAGTTGTCTTCGGGCTCCGGCCTCTTTCAAAACCTCTTAGTTACTCTTTTTGGCGGTCCACGGTAGTCTAAGCATTCTTCTGTAAAACCACATCTCCGAGGCCTCCAGAAATTGGAGGATACAGGCGTAATAAAGAGACATGGCTCAATGCAGCAGTTTTCGTCCATGAAGTCTATGAAGGTTTTTAGGCGAGAGAAGAGACATGTGCAGCTGCACTAGATTTAGAAAATGCGTCCAACAGAGTATTCTTTGATTACTTGGTGCAGATCCTCCTCCAACTGAAAATATCGCCCTTTATGATACATTGGCTAGCTGCGGCACTGTTCCAGAGAAGGATGATACTCAGGTGTGTTTGTTGATCCCCAGACCCGATAACCATTCGTCCCGCATTACCTCAAGGTTCTCTGCTGTCCCTAATCCTCTGTAATGTGTATACGTTGCGAATAACTGACCAGCAATTGAATGGATGTGGCGGGATTTATTGCGGCGATGGAATCTGGTTAGCATCGCAGGGCTACTCTCAAGTGTGTGTGCTGAGTAATTCCATCAGCATGATCTGGCGGGTCGAGGTGGGCTTTGTACGCAGACAGTGGATCGAGTCATTGCACAACTCCACTGTGCGTGGAGTTAACTTCATCTTTGTACCAGGGTATGCGGGTGTTGTTGGCAATGAAAGAGCTCTGACCTAGTTACAGAGTGCCGGCCCATGGATCATGCCGACATCGTTAACGCCATTAGAGGGGTATGATGAATTTTGGGAGCAACACTTAAACATCTTTGCTAAGAGTGCAAAAATTATGAATAAAAATCGGCACAGCCAGGCACGAGAAGCATACCGGACGCACGAGCAGTCTTGTCAACCAACACAGGACTGGGACTATCAACCAACACAGGACTGGGACTATCACCTGCAGGACGCCGATGTATATGATGAAGGGGGAATCTGAGCAACTATGGACGCGTCCGGAGGGCCGTGAAGATAACCCAAATCATAACTCATAACCCCGTTCAACCTCCAGAGAAGTTATAATTAGGTCACCAGTAACGGCCATACCAGCCAGGTGTCGCCTGCAGTCCTGTGAGAGCAATCGCCATGGTGTAGCGGTTGAACGCTCGCGTGGGTATCAGAAATTCGTGGGTTCGAGTCTTGATGACAAGATGACTGGCTCTCAGGTGGTGCTGGAAGGTAAAGGCGGCCGGCGTGATGCTGACCACATTACCGACGGAGTGCCGACTAGTCTACAAAATATAGTTCTAGCCCAAGAGGCCCAATAAGTTGAAGGCTTGGAAAAAGGTATTTTCCTTATATCGTCTGGACAAAATGCTTAATGCTGCCAAGGGAGGTAATACTATAATGTGTACCTTTTTTAAAAGGTGCATTAATTACCGCCCCTAGTTTAATTGTGCCCAAGTTTGTGGGTCGTCATGAGCAGCCGTTGCTTGTGGCCAGATGCTTGTCTACCCGCCTTTATATCCCAAGATCTTGGGTTCGAATCCTCATCGAGATAGATGTTTCAGCCACTTCCCTGCCGATTGTGTCTGCTTTGTTCTGTGTCCACCTTTACACTGGTTGGCCCATGCCTCTGATAGCCACTGTCATGACTTTCATGAGTCTTTTTTCCAAGCAACTATCTATCTATCTATCTGTCTTCTACCCCTTTCGTCCTTTTCAGGACGTAATTTTTTCTTATTTGAAGCCCCACTCTGGCTTTTGCCAGGGGCCGCAATATAGGCAGGCTATCAATGTGGCCAATTGTCTGAACGCGGTTTCTGGGACCTCTCCACGGTGATCCTCATCCGCATGGTGGCGCTTTGTGTCATCGGGTGTTTATCGCTTGTGTGATGTCCTGGTGGGGTAGAAAGTCAGTCAGTCAGGACATCACACAAGCGATAATCACCCAATGACAAAGGTGCCACCATGTGGATGAGGATCACCTGTGGAGAGGTCCCAGAAACCGCGTTCAGCCGTTAGACCATATTTATGGCCGGGCTATATTGTGGCCCCTGGCAAGAGCCAGAGTAGGGCTTCACAATAATGAAAAATTGCATCCCACAAGGATGCAAGATGACTTGCATTACTAGACATTAGAAATTACACATGATGATGAACAATTGACATGGTACATCTTTGAGCAGTTAAGAATATTACCTATGAATTTTTTTTTTTAAAGCATTGAGTAGCATGAGAAAAGGACGTGACAAAATCCCAAAGAATTATATATTCAAACAAAATACATGGTTTAAATATCAAAATTTAATACTCATTTGTAAATTTAATATGTTAGTTTTATATAATTTAAGCATTCTCCCACAAAATGTAAAATTACAAAATTTATTTTGTACAAGTGTAAAGAATGAGGACACGTCAGTCAAGTGGAGAATGGCTGACAGCCCCAGCCTCAACTGCTGTGCCTTCAGGATCATCATCATCATCCTGTTGTGCCACTGTATGTCACATTAGGCTCACAGTCTAGTCCTCTGTTCTCTTCTAGCCTGCGTAATCCTCTCATTACCATTTGTGGGATCCTGCACAATCCTCTCATTTCCATTGGCAGGATCCTGTGCAATCCTCTCATTACCATTGGTGGGATCCTGCGCAATCCTCTAATTACCATTGGCGGGATCCTGTGCGTTCCTCTCATTACCATTGGCGGGATCCTGTGCAATCCTCTCATTACCATTGGCAGGATCCTGCGCAATCCTCTAATTACCATTGGTGGGATCCTGTACATTCCTCTCATTACCATTGGTGGGATCCTGTGCAATCCTCTCATTACCATTGGTGGGATCCTGCACAATCCTCTCATTATCATTGGTGGGATCCTGTGCAATCCTCTCATTACCATTTGCACATCCTGTGCAATCCTATCATTACCTTTGGTGGGATCCTGTGCAATCCTCTCATTACCATTGGCGGGATCCTGTGCAATCCTCTCATTACCATTGGTGGGATCCTGTGCAATCCTCTCATTACCATTGGCGGGATCCTGTGCAATCCTCTCATTACCATTAGTGGGATCTAGTCCAGTGCCCTTGGCCTCTCTAAACAATATTCATCTCAGGATATCTTTTGGACATCCTTGTTTCCTCAGTCAATTTGTTTCCCATTTTGCTGCCTTTTTGATGATTCTTTGCCCATGTCTTTTCATGATGTGCCCAGTAATTTCGCCATCATCTTTGTTGTGTAGGTCTTGGGTTGAACATGATTCCCTGTGTTATATTGTCTATTCATTTTCCCCATCTCTACCTCTTTCTGCAATTGCCAGTCAATACATATTAGTTTTGTTTATCATTCTGGTGTGAAGCTAGATTTATTTAGCTGACCAACCACTCTCGGACACTCATTCAATCATGCGCTGTCTCCTCAATGAAGGTTGGTACAAGAAGTTGTGTTTTGTGTTGTTGGATGTTAATTTGGCATTTTTAAATTCTCTTTCTTACTTCTACCTCATACTATGATGTAAAAATACATAATTCATATGTTGTTAAACACACTATATGTGGGCGCACTCACACACACACACACATATATATATATACATTTATATATATATATATATATATATATATATATATATATATATATATATATATATATATATATATATATATATATATATATATATATATATATATATATATATATATAGATATATATATATATATATATATATATATACACACATACACTGTGAGAGAGAGAGAGAGAGAGAGAGAGAGAGAGAGAGAGAGAGAGAGAGAGAGAGAGAGAGAAAGAAAGAGAGAGAGACATTTATTGTCCAACCTTTTTTCTCAAGTTGAGTTGTAGATAAAAATATGTTCATCTTTCCCATTTCCTCGTTGTTTTATTCATTTATTCTTTTTTTTTTCTTCTTCAGTGTGAGTAAAAGTCAAGAGGAAAAGGGAAGAAGAGTGAGATGAGAATGAGAACAAATTTGGACATGGCTTTGTACAAAATGTAGGCTGTTATTGTTGTTGTTGAAGATGTCACTTTTAACACTTGACAGCCAGTAAACAAAACTCTTGGCCATAAAAAATAAAATAGGTAATAGATATCAACAGTACTAATTGTCAGTATGTGCATACAAATGGATTTAGATAAGTGTAGACTTAAATCCTTGAGTGCTCATTCAACAGAGGCTCATTAGGCATGAGGTGTTAAATAACACAGTCAGAAACTGTATTTCATATAAAATGAAGTTTGCTGTTAAGTTAAAAACAAAATCTTCATTACTGTAAAGTTTTCACACAACAATGAGCAAGAAAAAAAAACAGCAGAAAATAAACCCTTCAGTGCTCATTTAGACTTGTATAATTTATGAAAGTTGGTCATAGGCAAGTGCTAAAAAAGCTAAAAGTAATAATGTAATAGAAATCAGCCTTCACAGAAGAAAATTGTGGAAGTTAAACTGTTGGACAGGTTAAATCAGAAGACATGATACAATAAAAGAAACCTGTTACAGTGGGAAAAAGTTATACTGTGAGAAAGAAACAAAAAAGGAAAACTAAGAATGCTTAATAATAGCTGATAAGTTTAAAAATTGACAGTAAAATACTGAGGAGATACTCCCTGATTTTCAATGTTCAGAACTGACCACATAAGAATATTTATAGCATGTGAATCTTGTATGCGCTTGTGGAAGACAAGTGAAAAACCATGTTATTTATTTCACAGAATTTGTTTATGAACAGTGAAAAAGCTAGAATTGATTTGATCTGTTCAAAATGCTGTTTTTTTTTTTTTTTTTTTCTGTTCAAAATGAATAAACCAATATGGTAACATTTTTACAAATAAGAGATATATATAATTTGATTGTGTTTGCTGTATTGAATCAGTTTGTTTTTCTAGCCAATTTTTGCTTCAGCAACATTCTCTTCATGCTGGATTATACACTTTTGCTTGCATGAATACATTCTCAACAACAAATATCAAAACCTGCATCACATTTCATGCCAAAATCCATTCATCTGCATTTCCAAAAAAGTTACTCATCCTCATCCTCCTCCTCTTCTGCTTCTTCCATTTCTTCTGCGGCTTCTGCAGCCTCTTGTTGAGCAGCTTTGAGAGCTGCCTCTTCCTCGGGTGTTGGATCATCAGCTTCTGTGATCTCTGGCAGACTGGGGAACTCTTCTTGGATGGGAGGTGGCGGAGGTGGTGTGTAGTTGTCTGGTCGGTATTTGTGGCCAAACCCGATGTAGATGTTCTCAAATTTTCTGTAGTAGAACACAATAGTTCATTCACTAATTAACAAAATACACATTAGTTTCAAATGAAGGGATGTTTTATGAATAACTTCTAGTGAACTAATGCTTCATGAAAAAAAATCAGTGAACTAATGCTTCATGAAAAAAAATCAGTGAACTAATGCTTAATTTATGAGCATGAAGCAAAGAGTACCAATTCCTGCTACTACTAACTGGACATCCGTCTCACCTTTTTCCTGAGCATTTAACGTTAGCCAGATTCCCTGGTAACTACCCGCTGTGCCATTCTCTTCAGACCATAAGGATCTGTTTGTACCTCTTCGCCATTCACTCACTCCCAAAGGGCCCTCACAACATCTAACTTATCACACATCAATTCACCATCAAGTGGCGCAGAATTGGCCCAGTCTGTCTGCCTGATCATTTCCCAATAGACAGCATGACTTGGACAAAATATCCAAAAGATGCTAACTACCCAGGGCCTCTGAAGCGATGCTTGCCACTCTGCAAGGAGCATGCCTGTTTCCACCTTTCTCAACATACTCTGTGAGTCAGTTACAATTATAGCATTTTTGTACAGCCGATTCTCAAGCCAGCGGAAGGTTGCTGTGACTGCTTCCGCCTCCATTCTCAAACTAGACGTTGTGTTATCATATGCCAGGCGTTGCTGCACTAAGCGACGTCCATTCGCTTTTGCTATGAACCAACATGCACTTTGTCTGCCCCTCAACACAGAACCATCTGTATAGAAAATCACATCACTTGGGCGGGAATTTTCCTAAATCATTTGTTAAACTCTTGATTCTGCAGCACCAGCTGGCCAGTCTCTGCACTCACAAGCCAAAGTGATAAGAACCCTGCACAAGTCTGAAACTTGCTCAGACACTTTAACCTACTCCTCATCTCGCCTAAATTTATCAAGGCTGCACACACGTCTAATTGTGTCTTCGGCTTGCCCTATCCAAGACCTTCCTCTTTTCAGTCTGTGACCCTTAGCTCTACCCAGGGCTTAATGCAAGAGGTTCTTCTTGTCTGCATCTACTCTGAGATATGACTTTGCTTGCAGAATTTTGAGCATATCTGCAAATATTAAGCAGTGCAAGTATGTATTGCATACATAGGGGTGTCTCTTGTACATCGCAGAATTACCCGCATGGCTTCATTCTGTATGCGTTCAAGTTTCATCAGCTGGCTCTTTGATATGATAAGCATTCCAAGTCCATAATCTATCACCGACAGGATCACATGCTGGAACATTGTAAACAACATTCTTTGTTCCCTGTCCATTGCTGCCATAATCTTGAGAGCACTGAGTCCTTTTTGACAGTGAAATCATGCTTTACAGGGTGACTATATGTAACAAACAATTGAGTAGAGTCGTGACTATATGTAACAAACAATTGGGTAGAGTCGTGACTATATGTAACAAACAATTGGGTAGAGTCGTGACTATATGTAACAAACAATTGGGTAGAGTCGTGACTATATGTAACAAACAATTGGGTAGAGTCGTGACTATATGTAACAAACAATTGGGTAAAGTTGTGACTATATGTAACAAACAATTGAGTAGAGTCGTGACTATATGTAACAAACAATTGAGTAGAGTCGTGACTATATGTAACAAACAATTGGGTAGAGTCGTGACTATATGTAACAAACAATTGAGTAGAGTCGTGACTATATGTAACAAAAAATTGGGTAAAGTCGTGACTATATGTAACAAACAATTGGGTAAAGTCGTGACTATATGTAACAAACATTTGGGTAAAGTCGTGACTATATGTAACAAACAATTGGGTAGAGTCCCTTATATAAGAGCTTCTAGAGACAGAGAGTGAGGTAAAGCATATCATCTAAGCAACTATCAATAAACACACCGTGAATTTGTTAGTACTGACTTACTGCTTGTATCTACTGCTCGTTAATGTGGTGTTGGATAGCACGGATTGTGGTTTTGAGAGAACTAAGATATTTTCAGCGAATCAAGAGGGGAAGAAAAAATGCTGGTGCTGGATAGGACACACATTAAGAAAACTTGAGAACAATATAATCAGAATGTCTGTGCACTGGAATTCACAGGGGTATAGAGATAAAGGATATCTTTCAGTTTTTTTTTTTTTTTAATATGTGTCCTCTTCCCAATGAAGGTTGACAATAGTGTACCACCGTAAAATTATTATACTGTGTCCCAGTCCATTCCACCGTGCATCTCTTGTACCATTGTCAAAAAACCAGGAGAACAGTTTATTTTCTTTTTTTTGTGTGTGTGTGCTTAACCATTAACTGCGGGAAATAAACCCTAGTACACAAGAATCATGACATTGTTAACTGCATTCACTAACCTCTAGGCCACTGGTCTCCAAATGGGTGGCATGAGGCTGGGGTGGGGTGTCGGGGGGGGGGGGGTGTCAAGCAATTTTAAAATTACATGCATTTGCATTTGTATCAATCCGTTATATTATTTTGTCAGTTTAATTACAAATAAAATATTTTAAAACTATAAAACACTTAGCCAAGGATATTATTTTCAAAATAAGTTTGTGTATCTACAGTTAAAAATCTAAATAATATAACACAGGAATTTAATAACAGATTAAGAACACTTACTGACCAAAACAAATTTTCATAATTTCTGTTTCTCTTGCTGCTGAATCTATTGCCATCCTCTGTTTAATAACATGTTGTTATGTTGGGAGGGGCGGCGTGGGGGTCTTGCCATATACTCAAGGAGTGCATGTAGGTCTTACCCTAAACTCAAGGGGGAAAATGGAGGGGGCATGGGGGTCTTGCCATATAGGGGCTAATCAGGTACAAAAACAACATAAAATAAAAATACTTTTCTACGAAACAACAAACAAACATACTTCTCAAAAGCAAAAGCATGAGCTCCAGGCCAGAGATTGGAGTGCACCACTGCGACGGCGTACTGGGGGATCAAATTAGAGGACAAGGCTGCCGTCCAAGCAGGTATGCTCCCAATCCCATCATCCTCTGAAATCGGTGTCAACAGAGGTGGCCCAACTTCTGGCTCTGGTTCATCAGGTTCTTCTCGTTCATCCTCCTCTTCTTCATCCTCAAGTTCTTCTTCATTCTTCTGTATTGGGTTCCACCATGTGCAACGACCCTGTTGGACAAGAGAGCAATAAAGAAAAATTCATGGCTAAACACTAAATCCTATATGGATAGCTTATAAATATGCTTCAGAAAATCTTAACATACAGTTTACACTCTGAATGGGTGGAAGCATTTAGAAGTTGCATTTCACTGCCGTCACCTGGATCCACACATATGGGCATGCCAAAGTATAATTCAATGAATGAACAGGTGAAGTGGAAAGTAAGGTACTAATACAAACAAGAAGAAGCCTGGACAAAGCTGATATAATCACTGCTGTATGGACTAGACTGGTTGTCATTGAAGAGTCTCTAATAGTAATCAAACTACATGACCTGGAAGTAAAGTCTAGGGAAGCATAACTATGCTGTTTTCAAAGTCAGTGTAGAAGATATTATAATCCGCTTCATCTGGAGACAATAAGTAAAAGTACACGGAGATAGCTGTTGCATCCGAGGACTGAGCAGTCATAAAAATGGCCTGTGTGAAAGACTTCTGATGTGATAAGATAATGTAGCACAAAGAAAGACATTCATATAGTGACATAACTGTTAGGTAATCGCAGTTCTAGATCCACAGCAAACAGGTCACCCAGTAATTCCTATGCCAGGGAAAACCCCACAGACTGCCAGTTGCTGTCCCTTGTGGGAAGAAACTTAAAGCGACTGTGATCTCTGCACAACCAATAGCATACACGTCATTGTTTGCATAAGGCAGCCATCAGAAGTGCCAACACAAACAGTCTGCTGCCAGAACTGCAGTTAACCGTGAATGAACAGTACTAGCCTAAACTAACTAAGAACATAATTTACCTGAGGCAGGATGTGTTGCACGTGATGAGCCCAGTTGCTCAAAGATGGGTCTGCCAGTTCCCTGGGCGGGATACTCTCGAAGTCAATGTTTTCAACAATATGGTCTCTGGCTGTTGAGACATAGAAAATACATATTTTCATATAGGAATAAAAAGCAATAACAAGGGATACAACTGAAATTTAAGAAATTAGAAGAAGATCAGAACTGAAACTAGTACTTCATTTAGTCTTGCCCTGTTATGCAATTATATGTTACACGTGGCTCGCAGTCTTTTCCTTGATTCGGTTCTAACTTGTGCAATCCTCCTGATATCAAGGAATGAATTCAGTCCAGTACCTTTAGTCTCTCTCATCAACATTCACTTTAAGGTTTCTGTTTCTGTCCCATTTTAGTGCCTGCATGCTGATTCTCTGCTCATTACTTTTCCGTATGTGTCCAATATAGCGCCATCTTATTTGTCTGATAACTGTTATTACCAGTGGTTGCCCAGACAAATTTTGTTATCACTCTTAAATTCATCCCATTTTATGTTCAACATTTTCTTCAGGCATTTGTTTTTAAATTCATTTAAATTTTGTTTCATGTCTTTAGCGGTTCTTAGGTTTTCACCTGCATATCTCAACATTGAAATAACATTAGCAATTAAAATACATGAACATGGTCTTAAAACTATACACTGGAGAGTTCCACATTTTGCTGAGGCTTTGAAAAGCTGTTGATGCTTTACCAATGCACGCCATAAATTAGTAATACAATTTAATAAAGAGTAACAGGTGAAATTGTTTGGTCATGTGATGAAAATGACCTGTTATCAACTACTACATCAAGCTACATTGAAGATTGCCTATGATTTCTAATAGAGATGTTTCTCCCTGCCGAACTAACCTACAACTTTCACTCTTGGTCTTCCCCAAACTCTCTATCCTCTACCTATCCTGTTGCCATGAGATCATCATCATGTAGCAGGTCCTGTGCAAAATAACGCTCTCATCATGGTCTACCTGAAAGAAACTCGGTCTCTCACCAGCACTCCCACCCCATGTGCTTTCATATTCAAAGTCACCTATATCCTGTGCCCATCTTTGTGTCGGTCGGCCCTGCGCCTCACTCCTGGTACCTTGCCGTCTGCTATTATGTTGTTGTTTTTTTTTCAGTCTGCCTCGACGCTTGATATGATAAAATTATTTCAGCTTCCGATACAAGATGCTGTTTATTAGCCAATCTTCCTTGAGGTTCAGATCTTTTAAAATGTCAGTATTTCTTCTCTTCTCTGTCCACGGTATTCTAAGAATCTTTCTTTAGCATTTCAGCTCAAAAGCCCTTATTTTCTTTCTTAATGACATTGTCATGAGATACTCCAGTTTTACCCCTCTCATGAAATGCACACATGTGCACAGTCCTCTTTGTTAGTTGACAGACAGTCGTTAATTGAGGTTCCCCTATCTCTGCAGATGGGTTGCTCCGTAACTGATCTATTCCTATGCTAATGAAAATCACACAAATTTTCCCTCACTGCCCCATTTGAAAACTAGTGAAAAACATGTCAGTCCCAGCTAAATCTTGAAGCCTGCACATGCCAAAAAAACGCAGAAGGTAGCTGTCAGACATGCCAACTCTAAAAGTCCCACACTAGACTGCAGGTCATTGTTGATGCAAGCAGTCAGTTACGACCGATGCATTGTCCTCTTCAGATTTAGATAGCCACTTTGTGTGGACAGCCACTTTGTTTAGTAAATTAATTATTTTCTTTTAAAGAAATCTTTACGAGGCTTTCAATTTGTTTATGGTCTTCTTATCTTTCTTTAAAAAACTGTATTTCTCCTGCTCATAAATAATTTTTGACCAATCTACTGACTGTCCATGGTTCCCATCTTTGGTTCCCATCTGTGTTTTCCATCCACAGTTCCCATCCATGGTTCAAATCTTTGGTTCCCAACCATGGTTCCCATCCATGGTTCAGATTCATGGTTCACATTCATAGTTCCCATCTATGGTTCCCATCAATTTTTCTCCATCCATGGTTCGCATCTTTAGTTCCCATCCATGGTTCGTATCCATGGTTCCCATCCATAGTTCCCATCCATGGTTTCTATCCATGGTTCCCATCCCTGGTTTCCATCCATGGTTCCCATCCATGGTTCCCATCCATGGTTCCCATCCATGGTTCCCATCCATGGTTCCCATCCATGGTTCCCATCCATATTTCAAGATTGGCTCTACTATAAAGCACAAGCCTTTCTGTGTAACATCAACTGACAAAGATAAATGACACAGAATATTCTTCATTCTCTGAAATGCTGCCCTTTTTAAGCTATTCTACATTGCATTGCTTTTACCCATCTTCCGTCTTCTGTTCTCTAGGTACCCAAATACACAAGTGCACTGTCTTCCCTCAGATGGGTCCCATTTACATTGATGTTGCATTTAATGTGAGTCTTCTTTGACCAATAGAAAACACTAGAATTCAGGAGAAAATGTTCATCAAACACGGTGCTCTTTTCTGGACTAAAGGAATTCTGAATTAACCAGTTTATGAGAAATTGAGGTGACAGCTAACCTTCAGTTTCCTCTTCCTCTTCCTCCTCCTCATCAAACTGGTAGAATCCCAAGGGAGAGATGTGTGTTCCAGCACTGATGCGGGCAATTTGTGTCCGCAGGTAGTTGGCTTCGTTGCCAGGAAATGGTGGATAACTGACAACCTGGCAAATTTTTGTTAAGACTTATGAAAAATGTCAACATGTAAGCATTTGTTACTGACGTAACAAATTTATAACGCGACGTAAATATGTAATGTAAAAGGAAGTAAATGACACTTCTCAGACCTGAATATTTTTATAGACCAATCAGCACTTTAAAAGAAGGATGGCCATAGCAATGCAAAGATTGAACAGCCTTAAAAGTCTATGGTTAAGCACCAGCAAGGAGATCAAAATTAGAATTTCGAGAGCATGCATCTTCCCTGTGGCTACATTCAGATGTGAGTCGTGGCCTGTCTCTCAGTCCTTAAAAAAGAGAATAGGGGCTTTTGAGCTGAAATGCTATAGAAAGATTCTCAGAATATCTTGGACAAAGAAGAGGAGAAATACTGACATCTTGAAAGATCTGAACATCAAGAAAGATTGGCTAATAAACAGCATCCTGTCTCGGAAGCTGAAATAATTTGGTCATATCAAGCGCCACGACAGATTGGAAAAAATATTTTAGCAGAAGGCATTGTACCAGGAAAGAAGGGCAGGGACCGACCCACACGAAGATGGGCACAGGAGAAAAGTGACTCTTTGAGTATGAAAGTACATGAGACCAGAGAACTGGGGAGAGACAGAGTTTCTTTCAGGCAGACTGTGATGAGAGCGATGTTCTGGAAAGGACCTGCTACATGATGATGATGAATCAGCACCCTGTAACCATTTTAGGCTCAGTTGACAAGGAAGTCGATGTCGTTTCTGTTTTAAATCGCCCAATGAAGACTCAAACCCAAGGCTTCCATGCAGGCAGGTGTGTTTTCTAGCAACTACACCACCCCAGCTCCTGATATAAACATATACTGAAATTCTAACCCAGAAATGTGTCTGCAATTATAAATTGTTTAATAGTTTGCTACAGGAAAGAATGCATGTTCTCAAAAGTGTGACTTTTGAGTGGTTTGCTAGTGTTGGGAAGTCTGTTAGTGGAAGGAGTGCTCTTCAACACAGTACCCCAAGAAGATAGAGCTTCAGTATTCAAAAGAAAGTTTCTGCTCCTACCTTAAATTAAAAATCAAGCCCCTTTTAAAACTCAGATGATCTGAACGTCCATGTGTTGGCTTGTCAGTTAAGACATTAGTTTTTCAGATGATCCGCAAGTGAACTAACCCTTCGACCATCCAACCATCCTTCTATCCAGTCATTCTACCATCTAATTATCCTACAAGCCAACCACCCTACCAACCATCCTACCATTGAACTGTTGGTGCTGTTCACATTTCCAGACCCAAGATAAGAGTAATTTCCCTTGCCATTCATACCTCCTTAGGTCGCTGGACCTCTCCTTTGTTGTGGGGAGTCATGTTTTCCTTATTGGGAACAGTGTAACCATTGCCTCTTCTCTCATCCTCTCACCGCTCGCTAACCATCCTTTTTACCAAACAAATAACTAAATATCCACCTAGCCTCTTTAACAACCATCAATACAATCAGCCAACCTATTCTCAAAAAAAAGATGCCAGCTGTTTGTCACTTCTGAGATGGAAAGGCCAAAAAAGAAAGAAATATCATCACTTCACAATTCTTAATTTTAGCATTCCATATTTTTATGGTAACATTTTGTTCTGCTCGTATAATTGATTTCTAATTTGCATTTTTCTCTTTTTATTTCCATAGATGATTTATATGAGAACTATTTACTCTGTTGATTGCAGCCATGGAAACAAAAAATGGAAGATCTAACTAAATTAATGGATACTTTAAAAAAATGTTTAACAATGGTAGTCCATGAGAACTATACAACGCTTTTAAATGTCCATGAGAACTACAATGCTTTTAAATGTCCATGAGAACTATACAACGCTTTTAAATGTCCATGAGAACTACAATGCTTTTAAATGTCCATGAGAACTATACAATGCTTTTAAATGTCCATGAGAACTACAATACTTTTAAATGTCCATGAGAACTATACAATGCTTTTAAATGTCCATGAGAACTATACAACGCTTTTAAATGTCCATGAGAACTACAATGCTTTTAAATGTCCATGAGAACTATACAATGCTTTTAAATGTCCATGAGAACTACAATGCTTTTAAATGTCCATGAGAACTATACAATGCTTTTAAATGTCCATGAGAACTATACAACGCTTTTAAATGTCCATGAGAACTACAATGCTTTTAAATGTCCATGAGAACTATACAATGCTTTTAAATGTCCATGAGAACTACAATGCTTTTAAATGTCCATGAGAACTATACAATGCTTTTTAAGATTCTTTGACCTGTGATTGACAAAAACCTATACTTATCTGGCATACCGGAGCATCCAATCTCCCTGTCATGTACTTTTTGATCTGCCTGGCAACAACAATTTGTTGCGGCTGGACTGGTGGTAGTTTTATCCATGGCTTGCCCGCTAAACAGAAAAAGAAATTAATTCAATCAACCATAACTACATCCTGATAAAAGACACGTGAAAATAAATCAAACAAGATATTGTGTAAGAAGTTTCCCGTCGAACATCTAGCTAGTATGCTAGAGTAGTTCCCATTGCTTCTCATAACATGCTAAAACAATCTCTACTGTTTATAGGTAATTTCTAAAGTTAGTTCATTACCTGTTACTTAATGGAGTGTCTCTTTCTGTTGTTGCTGATGTGTTGTTGTAGTTGTTCTTTGTGGATATGTCCATGATATACTTTGTCTTTCACTCAGAAATCACATTTCTACTGACACAAGGTGTTTCTCATTTTGCCTGTTTATGATACATTTTGTACATGCACGCAAAAAACAAGAATCTGGAAGCAACAGAGATGTGGTTTCTAAGACGAATGTTACGAATACCTTGGACGGCCAGAGTAACTAACAACAATTGCTTGAAAGAAACTAATGAAAGTAGCTCTCTATATAATACATAAGAAAGAGACAAACACTTTTCTTTGGCCACATAATGAGAAGAGAGACATTGGAGAACATCATGACAGCTGGAAAGATCAGTGGAAAAGGGGGTAGAGGCAGACCAAGAGAGATGATACTAGATGGGCTAAACTGATGGCATGAAGGGATATCATCAAGAGAACTGTTCCAGGCAACCAGGGATCATGATTTGTGTAGACGCATGGGCGCCTACGCCAGTTGACATGGCACATGATGATGTTGATGCAACAAAAAGTACTGATTTCACTCGGTACTGTAAGCTTGTCTGCTCATTGTCCTTAATTTGTATCCATACAGCGGTACAGACAGTACACTTAAACAGAAAAAAATCTAAATTATTTTGGTAGCAGTGTGTCCATATTGCTGCTAATAAAGTGAGAGCTGAGAGTAAAGATCAACACAACCAGGTATAACTGGGTGTTCAAGAAGTCTTGTTAATCAGCAAAGGACTGGCACTGTTAACAACAAAATATTGATGTATATACTGAAAAGGATGGGGGGGGGGGGGGGTTAAACATATCTCAATTTGCCCAGAGAGCCATGAAGAAAACGCAACTCATAACTCATATCTAATTTGTTAGATTGTTTCACTTACGATCATTACAAACAAAATATGTCTTTTTATTGGCCCCTGTTTTGTTCTCTTCTCTAGCAATGACTGGTGGGGGCTTGAAGTCCGGTTTCGGGGTATCATCCTCCTCTGTTTCCTCTGTAGGCAAGAGACAGACACACACATCAGCATGTTAAAAAAATACATTTAAAAAAAAGTTTGCTGCTGCTGCTTCAACTTCTTCTTCTTCTTCTCCTCCTCCTCCTTCCCTTCTTCTTCTTCTTCTTCTCTTTCTTCTTCTTCTTCTTCTTCTTCTTCTTCTTCTTCTTCTTCTTCTTCTTCTTCTTCTTCTTCTTCTTCTTCTTCTTCTTCTTCTTCTTCTTCTTCTTCTTCTTCTTCTTCTCCTCCTCCTTCCCTTCTTCTTCTTCTCTTTCTTCTTCTTCTTCTTCTTCTTCTTCTTCTTCTTCTTCTTCTTCTTCTTCTTCTTCTTCTTCTTCTTCTTCTTCTTCTTCTTCTTCTTCTTCTTCTTCTTCTTCTTCTTCTTCTGCTTCTCCTCCTCCTCATCCTTCTTTTTCTTTTTTTCTTCACATTTACCTTATGTAAACATCTGCAGAAACTTATGGTTCTTCATCACCTTCTGCACTTTGGTTTTGATCCAGAACATGGGTTTTGCATGCACATCTGACACTGTTTGCAGACTGTTCATTCTTTGCCTCCCAGGCAAATGCACCTCTCTTTTTGAAGGCTGAATGGTTGAACAGGGTATCAAGGATTGGCCTTGTCAGTCTACAATCAGAATGGGGCTTTAGCCTCGATTACAAGTAGTTCGACTATGTAGGTGATGGCGGTAACATAAGCAAGGATGTGGCTAGAGAAACAACAGTTTTCCTATGCATGCTTTCTAAGTGATTCCATGAGCATGCTTAAGAAGACAGAGACAGGATGTATTTGAAGAAAATGGTTGGAGTCGTTGGGGAAATCTGGTCTGATAGGAATCAGTGTTTCATGTTTGTGCCAGGACACTCTGGGGTAAGAGGCAATGAACGAGCAAATTGCCTTGCTGGCAGGGCCACTGTAGCTACAAGAATAGCAATGAACAGGGATGACATTCTCAATGCTCTCAAGAAGGCAGGACAACAAAATGATTCAGGAGATGACATTGAACTGGCAACACTAAAAAGAGTGCAAGAACTTCAGGTCAAAAGAGGTGTCGCCAAACATGAACACTATACAGGTAGCCAAAGAAGAATAGTAAACCAACATAGAACTGGTGTTATCAGTCGCCACACGCTGAGGGATATACTGAAGATGGGATCTGAGTGCTTATGGACTTGTCCAATGAGGATAATCTGTCATTTAACTAACTAACTAACTAACTAATTAACTAACTAACTAACTAACTAACTAACTAGCTAGCTCACTAACTAACTAACTTACTAACTAGCTAGCTAGCTAGCTAGCTAACTAACTAACTAACTAAGTAACTAACTAACTAGCTAACTAACTAACTAAATAACTAGCTAGCTAGCTAGCTAATTAACTAACTAACTAACTAACTAACTAACTAACTAACTAACTAACTAACTAACTAACTAACTAACTAACTAACTAACTAACTAACTAACTAACTAGCTAACTAACTAGCTAATTAACTAATTAACTAACTAACTAACTAACTAACTAACTACCTAGCTAACTAACTAACTAACTAACTAGCTAGCTAGCTAATTAACTAATTAACTAACTAACTAACTAACTAACTAACTAACTAGCTAGCTAGCTAGCTAACTAACTAATCAACTAACTAACTAGCTAGCTAGCTAGCTAATTAACTAACTAACTAGCTAGCTAACTAACTAACTAACTAGCTAACTAACTAACTAACTAAATAACTAGCTAACTAACTAACTAACTAACTAACTAGCTAACTAACTAATTAACTTCAGAACTGAGATTATATATTTTTTTTCTTTTATCAATCTGGGTTTGTAAAATCCTCTGCTAGCAGCCCAGGGGGAGAAAACTCTATACAGGTACGCACTCTGCTCTAATTGTTACTTGACGTACTCTCTCAGATTATAATTTTAACCCAACCTGACCCAAACATTCACAGTTTTCTGGAAGAGAATGAGCTCATAAATATCCACCTGCGGAACTACTCACTTACTTGCCTGCACTACGAGAGCTCCTTTCCCTTTCATTCATGCCGTGGTAGATCGCACAGCCTGTCCTATGTTGAGTGGGTGTTTTGAGATGGCTTGGTTTGGCGTTTGCTCCCCGTCTATATTGTTTGTGGGAGGTTGTGTTGTCGTGAGTTTCTCTGAGGCACCGCAGGAGACTGTGTGCATGTAAGAAGTGCTTTCCCAGATGGTACTAGGGATAAGCCCAGCGTACCAACTGGGAAGTACTGCAACAACTATGATGCAGAAACTCAGGCTATTAAGATAGCAGAAGAGAAACTGCTAAATACCAATCTTGGCTCACAGTATGTGGTAATGCTGACAGATGCCAAATCCATACTTCAAGCACTCCAGGCTAGGAAACTACCAGAATTGCAAACACTGCTGATACAACTCAGCCTTCAGCTTACAGTTGTAAGGCAATGGATACCGTCTCATTGTGGAGTGCCTGAAAATGAGAACGCTGATACATTGGCAGGGGAAGGTGCGACAAAAGTGCAGCTGGATGTACCAGTCACATACCACCAAAAGAAAAGGATCATTAAATCGATCAGGTAACCACCAGCCTCAGCACAAGATGACTATTTTATTATGGACAGACCAGAACAAGTCATTATCCTCCGCCTCAGAACAGGGCACAACCTATTACGTAACCATATGTACACAAAATTTAAGAAAGGCGTATCAGCCTTGTGCACCTGTGGAAAGGTGCCGCAGACAGCAGAGCATGTACTCCAGGACTGCACTGAATTTGACACAGCAAGCCTTTTGGCTGGAACGAACAACAGTGGAACAAAAACTTTATAGACCACTGAATGAACTAAAACGACAGTGACATTTATACAAGAGACAAAATTGCTGATATAGACAGCTTATTTCAGGCGAACAGAAGAAGAAGAAGTAAGAAGTACTGCCGGGGAAAGTGCAGAAGGCCCAACCGCAAGTATCAAAACTGGGATGTTTTTGTATTTCTCCATTCCTTGGCAGTTTCCCCCCCCCCCCCCCCCTCCCTTTCCAAAAAAAAGCCAGTGACAAGGAACATAGAAATACAAAAATATCACAGTTTTGATACTCCCAAACTGTCAGGCAAGTAGCACAATATGGAAATAACCACGCAAGTGAGCGGTGACAACATGAGAAAGGAGATAACAGTTAAACCGCTGACTATAACGAATACATGACACCCCCACAAAATAAAACAGGCCGTGTGAACCCACAACGGGAGGGGAAGGAACTCTCACTGTGTAGGTAGGTTCCCGATAAGACCATGCCTGCTACTGAAAGAGTCAAATACATAGTGAAGATGTAAGTAACATAACATTTACAAGTGGAAAGAACATGATCAGAAAAACAGAGCAGCTGCTGGCCAGTTTTTGAGAATGCTGGCTTTTCCTAATTAATGGATTATTTTTTTTTTTTATGGCAAAAATAAAAATCCAGACCTGCACAGTTTGTGGAAACTGCACTAGCGAAGCAGTCTTTATTACTCAGGCTCCAAACCCTCCTGTGGTACTTTAGATAGTAAAGACATATTTATTTTAAATAATCAGAAAAGGACAACAAAGCATAGCTGAATAGTTTTCCAGTGTGACTGAGATACTTCCTGAAATTACTTAACTAGAAACAGTGCACAAACAAAACAAAGTATACCTTCTAAAGCAGTTTCATGATCTTTTGCAGCTGTTTCATCTTCTTTTTCTTCTTCAGCCTGAGAAAGCCATTGTATAACAAATTAGAGCCATGTATTTTCAATAAAATACTCATATGACTGATAAACTTTAGTGATTAATCTTTCAGATTTAAAAGATTACATTCCAACTCAGTCTATTAAAATACAGTGTACATGTGTATTAAATTCAACTAATTTCACCTCAGATCTATTTCAGCTCTATTTCAACACAGTCTTTTCCACATCTAGCTATTCTAAATCTATATATTCTAACTCAATATATTCCAGCTCAGTCTCTTCCAACTTGGTCTATTTAAACTCAGTCTATTTCAGCTTGGTCTATTCAAACTCAGTCTATTTCAGCTTGGTCTATTTAAACTCAGTTTATTTTAACTTGGTCTATTTAAACTCAGTCTATTTCAGCTTGGTCTATTTAAACTCAGTCTGTTCCAGCTTGGTCTATTCAAACTCAGTCTGTCCCACATACACTAGATGGTCTTTATGGCAGGGAGCCAAGCCTGGCACTCTGATAATTGTGGATTTGTTCTGTGGCCTGTGACATTCAGTTTCCGAGCATACTTTTTAAGGAGATCCACACGAGTCACCACTGGAGCTGTGATGTTTGTACTTTGTGCATTGCTGTCAGCAAGCTGGGTTGAGTTGAGTCAAGAATTGACATCACAGTACTTGGGACATTCCCATATGTGCTCTTTCCTCATCCTCAGCAGCCACGCAGAGTTCCAACACTGATGAAAATATAGCGAGTTGCCTGATAAAGAGCAAGTTAATTAAGCTAGATTACCAACATAATTCTACTTTCATATCATCTCCTATTCTGCCAACATACCTCTTCATCCTCTTCTTCCTCCTCCTCCTCTCCTTCTCGGAACTCAACTTCAGCAACATAATAGTTCTGCTCAGTGCCGAAGAACTTTCCCCAAAATCTGACATGCTGCAAAGGATGGTTCTCGACCAGAGCTTTCATTGACAACCAGATTCGAACTATCTCCTCTCTGTTTAGACCAATACCAGCTTGCTCGAAGAAGAAACAAAGCTCCATGAGATTGGGCAGAGGAGATTCAACCTCCTCATCCCGAGCAACTTCCTCTTCACCGTCATCACTAGCTTTCTGAGAGTGAGATTGAAGAAGACAAAATAGATATAAAAAAAATTTTTTTTAATGTAAAAATTATTAGTATGAGAGGGAGTCGCCGTGGCGGGGCGGCTAGATACTCGCCACGGATCAGAAGGTTCACTCCCTGGTGGAGACGGACTTTTTTCAAAAATGACCTTGGCTCCCAGGTCGACTCAGTTTTGAGTGAGTACCGGGTGCAGTCGTGGGAAGTAAAGGCGGCTGGCATGATGCTGACCACATCACCCATCTTGTGCTGATTTATCTATAAAATATAGGTCTAGCCCTATATGCCCTATTCACCTAAAGGCGTGGAAAAAATGTCCTTTACTTATTTTTTGTTAATTAGTATGAGAAAAGATGGAGGGGAGCTGTTTCTTGTGGGTGCTCGTAAAGGTACCAAACAATCATCATCTTTCTGCGACCCGCTGAAAAACATACGCAGTCATATAGTGAGCTGTACTGTAGTGATTGTTGACTGTATGTTTACCATATAGTTTTGTTGTCTTTAGATTAACTCATAAAGTCATAACTAGTACATTTGTTTCATCTGTTGTATTTTCAGTTATACAGTGTGGGTGGTGGGGCCCTACTGTGGGGGAGACATGAGTTGTCTCAGACAACAAGCAGGTTAAAGGAGTTGACTAATTTAGGGCATCCTTTGAAGTTGGAGTACATCAGTCTAAGACTCAAGGAACCAAGATAATGCATACAAATAAGCCAGATGTGCATGGAACACTTAGGATCTAAAACAATACTTAAGTCCAGAAGTGGATGAACACCCAGAACTTTCTTCCAGATTTTACAGCTGGAAAACGCAAAGAAGTAGAAGAAGAAGTAGAAGAAGAGTAAATAAGTTTAACCCCACCAGGACACCACACAAGCGATAAACACCCGGTGACACAAAGTACCACCATGAAGATGAGCATCACCTGTGGAGAGGTTCCAGAAGTATTCAGATATATTTCAATACTACAACACAGTTTAAAACAGAATTAACTAATTCCACAAATGATTATCAGTAGTCTGTAAATAAATTGCAATGGTGACATTCAGCGCAGAAAAAAAAATAATTATCATCATCATCATCAATTCTTTTTATGCCAGTGGCACATGAGGCTTCAGTGAGGACTTTCTATGCTTTCCTGTCCTTTGCAATCTTCAGTGCAGTTTTCCATGTCAGAGATGCTGCACTCAGGTCACTTTCCATGGTTCGTCTTCATGATGTTTTTGAGTGCCCCTTTTTTCCTCTTTTCTCCTGGTATCCATGTGAGAGCTGTTTTGGCAGGTATTTCAGGATTCATTTTCATAACGTGGCCAAGCCATTTCCATCTTCTCTTGGTTATCATACTGTCTAGAGTTTCTTGGTTTGTGACTTGAAGTAGTTTAGTGTTTGAGATTGTATCTGGCCAGAAAAGTTTAATAATTCTAAGTAGACATGTGTGGTGGAAGGTGGACAGCTTGTGTGCATCCTTTTTGGTCATTATCCAGCATTCCGCTCCATAAAGAAGAACTGGCAAAATAATGCTCCTTTTAAGAAAAGAATGGTGCAATATAAAAGACTGCATAGAGGCATTGTATATTGTAAATACAGACCTGCTAACAAATATTGATTATAAAAAGATATCAAACCAGACATGAAGAAGAACCAATGAGCTTAACCTTCTGACAGTCATAAATGACATGTGAACTCTGCACTTAGAAAGTCTTTTTCATCGGCACAGTTACAAGCAAAAGTACACAGAAATCACTTAACTGTGATCTCTCCAAGAAATATATATTTATCTGGCTATTTTAAACTCTGAGACACATGGGAAATACATTCTAGACATAAATATGTATATAGCAGCTAAGGGCCATAGCTCTAATAGGTTAGGAAAAGCTTACCAAAAAAAATAAAAAATAAAAAGAACTTTATTGCAACAGTATTGTTTTCATGTGATGAGATAAATGGTTGTATAAAACATCATGCACCTGGAACCAGAAAGAGGAGCTGTAGAAGAGGGAGACGCAAACAAAGGGAAATGTTCCATGACAAAAAGAGTAAATGCAGAGCATAGATGACTCAGATTTTTGCGGACACATGAATACCTACACAAATTGACAAAGTCTCTGATATTCTGGATTTTCTTCCTCTTCTTCGTAGCTTTCACTGGCTGTAAACTCCTGTGAACAGTTCTGGTTGTTCATCCACTTATGGACTTTGGTCATGTTCCAGAACTTGACTTTTGCATGCACATCCAGGACATGCAGATCTGGCTTTTTTGTATGCAGACATGCAGATCTGGCTTATTTGTATGCAGACATGCAGATCTGGCTTATTTGTGTGCAGACATGCAGATCTGGCTTTTTTGTGTGCAGACATGCAGATCTGGCTTATTTGTATGCAGACATGCAGATCTGGCTTATTTGTATGCAGACATGCAGATCTGGCTTTTTTGTATGCAGACATGCAGATCTGGCTTTTTTGTATGCAGACATGCAGATCTGGCTTATTTGTATGCAGACATGCAGATCTGGCTTATTTGTGTGCAGACATGCAGATCAGGCTTATTTGTGTGCAGACATGCAGATCTGGCTTATTTGTATGCAGACACTGCCTGTCCGGCAGACTCACTCCCACTTTGAAGGAAATACTACTAATTATCTACTTTGATTACTGTTGTGAGGTGAGCAGCCAACCCTTCACAATGGACGAGTCATGAATTTGACTTCCCTCGCGCTCAGTCAAATTTCAAACAAACCCGTCCGGAAGGGTATATAGTCCCTTACATTGATATATAGCTTTATCTGGTGATATATTCATTTCTAGACACTCTAGTTGCTTTGATAAATCTTCATTTGCAAACTTGCAACTGTAGGTTGACGATTTCTGCTAATTTATTTAGAAATTCCTGTAAACCGGTTTACACCTTGGGCAGGAATACAGGGAACTTCTTTCCTAGAGACACTAAGTTTGATTTTGAAAAAACATTCTTTCGCCTGATCCCAAAGTGTCAAGACGTGTACACAGTCTATGTAGAAATTGGCGCATTCAAAGTTCCATTTCTATCTTGGAAGATTTCCTAAGCTTGGGTAAGTTGATTATAGTTTATGAGTACCATAATTGATGTCTTTTTAAAGTTGGCCACTGCTGCAGAGAGGGCAGAGTCAGCTGTGTGATCGCACAGAGTTCGACCGTTCTTGATGTCCAGAGATCAAGCTCCGAACATTAGACCTTCCCCTGTACAGACTAATTAGTTGGTGCTCTACATAACCCACACCATTTGTAAAGATATTAAACCCTACAGGTAATTATTCTCTGACCAGTCAAACGAAGCTTTGTGCAGCATAACAGAAATGGGGAATCTAGGTCATCTTTAACCTGTGAAATACTGTGGCGTCAGGGCTAGGCGCTCTGAGTCAATGGTGTGTTTGACACCGATTCAGTGGGTGTGTAGTGAACGGCCTGTGGGGACGGAATATATATATATAGGTACTAACTGTAATCATTGTATGTCTGCGAGTGCAGATGTGAGGGTGGAGAGGGGATGATCTATGTGTGGTAGTGTCTGTCTATCTCCACTATATACCTTGTTTTCTATCTGTTGCACTAATTTACAGACAGATAAATGAAATGAGACATTGTCTCTTGTTCTTGAGAGTTACACTCTGAGGAATGGAGAAATGTGGCAAAGGTAGGAGAGAGCTGGTGTGTGAATAAGGGTGATTACTAATTCTGAATTCTTTCCTGACAGGATGATACCTTCTTAGAGATCAGGCAGATGAATCACAGTCCAGCCAACAACCACCAACCCATACCATTCTGTGCACCAAGCAGATCCAAAAGTCCTGTATACTGTGCCACTACCTCAACGTGGCAAGAGCTTGTTTGTGAGTTCCAGGACCAGTGGACAATTGCAGACACCTATGTCATCAATCCAGAGAACCAGTCTTCAAGAGCTTTGTTGGGCTCTTATGCATTTATTGTGTCATTACCTGTGAGACCGGCAGTGGGCATCACAGTCTCCAAGAGCTTTGGAGGGCTCCTATGCAGTTATTGTGTCCTCGTTTGTGACAGTCAGCTTGTACCAAATCAAGTCGAGGCCCAACTACTAATTGAGTCAACTACAGTCGAATCACCATGGACTGAGGGGAGCATTGACCTACGAACTGGGCTAAGTGATCTTTGATTCACATTACATGCTCTTTTTCCACAGCACCTTATCAGTCGGATGATGAACTTATGTACTCAAGACTACATCTGGCTGCTTCAATATCTGGGTTGTGTCAATGTTTCCTGAGCTCCATTCACTGAACTCTTGTTGATTTATTCATTATTATATGTATATATTGTACTAATTACATGCACGAATTTTTATGGCTGACTTGGGTGTCCCTATTTCACCATTCTAACTGCCTAGCTTTGATGTTTGTGTGAGTAATAAGTGTTATCTGTGTTAACATGGCTATGAAAGTATACTATCCGCATATCCTGCAGCTTTGCTCATGAGTCCTAGCCATCTATTTTAGCCCCAATCCACGCCGCTTGAGCAGCGTGGGGGATACTCTCAGCGGTGGCGGTAGTCGCTGGAAAACCGCAAATTAGGTCACTGGAAGTGCGCAATTGACACGTGACTGAGGCCCTGTTTTTGGCCGCGATCTTTTGTGCCCGTTCTTCGGAGGATAGCCCAGGATTTTAATTCCTCAGATAATAGGTTGTTGTCAAAGATGTAATCTTGCTGACACAAAAGGCCATGCTGGTAGATTAATTTGCCAGATGGTTTGTGTTAAATGGATCGTGTAAGCGCTGAAATGTAAAAATAAATTGACCAAGTAAATTAGGATATCCAAGAGATAACATAAAATGAATGTTGATCAGAGAGGCTTCAGGCGCTGGACTGGATTCCATCAACAAGATGACTGGACATTGATGAAATTAAATTATTAAAAGAATACAATAAAATCTGCCTATTGCAGACTGAATTTAAAAAAAAAAAATTCAGATATTAAAAGAAAGGCTTACTGTGAACAATTTCCTTTGGATCTGCGCAAGAGCAACTTCTGTTGATCTGTCAACCTTATCTTGTATTGTATCATAATTTGATGTGAATTTGGTTCTCTTCTCATCTTTGCTGATGTCCTCAAAAATATCAATCACATTGTCGGGACGTTCGTCTAAGATCTTGCCGAGAACTCGAGATAAGTGATCATAGCTGAAATACAATAGGGGTATAATACACGTCAGCATATGTGGCTTACATGCTTCATATTTCTGAGGTGCCGCATTTGATCCCAGCTGTAGGTGATTCAGCAATAGACGACCTTGCGTTGGTTTCAAGAACCAAAAGTGAAGAAAATAAAATACGAAAAAATTATGGGATGTGTTCTGCAATGTCATGTAAAGATATGCAGCTAACTTTTTATATATTACACTCTTTTTATTTCACTTCCTTCTCTGCTGCTGATGCTATTAGATATTTACCTCCAAGAGTGTTCTACCTTTAGACAATGAGTAATAAGATATAATCAATAAATTCCACAATTTATTGTTTAAATATTTAATCGTATCTCATGAGGTGGGCAACTACATCATTTAGATCAACACATAATGAAGCCCAAAAATGGCCGCTTCTGATGCCTGTGCAAGGGTGGGTAGATGGATTGGAGTGTAGGCAGAGAAATAGATAGATGTAACGGATGGATGGGTTCTGAGTTGAGCTATTGGTGGGTGTTTGGATGGTTGGTTGGATAGATGGATGGGTGGATGGATGGAAAGGTTCGCTGATGGATAAGTGAGTGTGTGGGTGCATGGATAGACAGATGTATGGATCAGTAGGTGCATATAAGAATAAATTCAAGGGTGGATGAAAAGATGAATGAAGCAAGTTACCACACTTGTAATCACCATAATTAATATAACTATTTTTTTTTAATGCTGTCTAGCCCAGAGCTATGCTGTCTAGCCCAGAACTATGCTGTCTAGCCCAGAACTATGCTGTCTAGCCCAGATCTATGCTGTCTAGCCCAGAACTATGCTGTCTAGCCCAGAACTATGCTGTCTAGCCCAGAACTATGCTGTCTAGCCCAGATCTATGCTGTCTAGCCCAGAACTATGCTGTCTAGCCCAGAACTATGCTGTCTAGCCCAGATCTATGCTGTCTAGCCCAGAACTATGCTGTCTAGCCCAGAACTATGCTGTCTAGCCCAGAACTATGCTGTCTAGCCCAGAACTATGCTGTCTAGCCCAGAACTATGCTGTCTAGCCCAGAACTATGCTGTCTAGCCCAGAACTATGCTGTCTAGCCCAGAACTATGCTGTCTAGCCCAGAACTATGCTGTCTAGCCCAGAACTATGCTGTCTAGCCCAGAACTATGCTGTCTAGCCCAGAACTATGCTGTCTAGCCCAGATCTATGCTGTCTAGCCCAGAACTATGCTGTCTAGCCCAGAACTATGCTGTCTAGCCCAGAACTATGCTGTCTAGCCCAGAACTATGCTGTCTAGCCCAGAACTATGCTGTCTAGCCCAGAACTATGCTGTCTAGCCCAGAACTATGCTGTCTAGCCCAGAACTATACTGTCTAGCCCAGAACTATGCTGTCTAGCCCAGAACTATGCTGTCTAGCCCAGAACTATGCTGTCTAGCCCAGAACTATGCTGTCTAGCCCAGAACTATGCTGTCTAGCCCAGAACTATGCTGTCTAGCCCAGAACTATGCTGTCTAGCCCAGAACTATGCTGTCTAGCCCAGAACTATACTGTCTAGCCCAGAACTATGCTGTCTAGCCCAGAACTATGCTGTCTAGCCCAGAACTATGCTGTCTAGCCCAGAACTATGCTGTCTAGCCCAGAACTATGCTGTCTAGCCCAGAACTATACTGTCTAGCCCAGAACTATGCTGTCTAGCCCAGAACTATACTGTCTAGCCCAGAACTATACTGTCTAGCCCAGAACTATGCTGTATACTTTAATGTGTCCATGATCATGGCCATTTATAAGCAATTGAACAATACAGAAGCATCACAAATGTTCCCTTTCCACGCCTTTAGGCGTATTGGGAATATAGGGCTAGACCATATATTTTTTATAGGCTAATCGGCACTCGGTGGGTGATGTGGTCAGCATCACGCGGGCCGCCTTTACTTCCCAGGACTGCATCTGGTACACACTCATGGCTGGGTCGACCTGAGAGTCACAGTAATTGTAGAAGAAAAAAATTCCGGCTTCATCAGGACGTGAACCCACGACCATCCGATCCGCAGGTGGGCGTCTAGTTGCCAAAGCTACGGCGACTCCCAAACAGAAGATAGAAGATATATCATAACAACGTGGGAAACATGGTCTGGCGGGGAGTGACCGGAGCATCTGACCGACACTCTACCTCAGAGGAAAGGAAGAAAGGCATATAATCAAACTGCCTCTATCATAACTGGAACTCTTCCCTGGCTGCTGAAGATGAGGGCAGATCAAGTATGGAATGTCTTAAGTGCTGTCGTACTGGTTCTTGACCCGGTTCAGATGAGTTCATGTTAAAAACATCCGTTATTAATTATCGCAAATAACTGAAACACAGAACTTAATACTTGCAGGTTCATTCCGGTATTCGTGCTTGCTGTCAGGAGATACGACTTCGCCTTTTGAAACTCCTTTTCCTTGTCACTTTGTTCTGATATTTTTCTTTCAGGATCAGCGTCCACGTACGACATGATTGTTTGTTCTTTTTTACCCTGAAATACTTCGTAGGTTACAGTTTGTCCTCTTTACCTCTGTGTTAAGTCAATTTAACGAATACGTTTAACATACAAACTGTTCATCTGCCAGTACACGCTCAATGGCGTCCTGTATCCATGGAAACCGTGTTGCTACGACTAAACAACAATTTTGAGCTAAACGTCACATCCTATTTGTGTACACAAAATGTGGTGACGTTCAACGAACATCGGTCTCCAAAAGTGAGAAGAACAGAGAACCCCCAAGTTGGGATGTTAGTTTTTATATCTTCTTTATTAATACTTTCAGTTGGATTATATGTGCGCGTCTGAATGTAGTTGTCGGTTTTCAATTTCGTGAATGCCCACTGTTATGATATAACTTGTATTGTTTGATATAGTTTAAAATTATCTTTCACTTTCACACATTCATTATTATTAATATTATTTATTGATGAATATGAATATGATGAATCAAATGAATGAATGAATTAATTAATTGAATTGATTAGATATGAATTATTAATTTGTATTATTCTATCGATTGATTTTTGAGGAAGATAATCGCATGAAAAATGATGCATTAATAGTTTTTATATTTGATTGAATGAGTGAAAAAAAAATAACATCGCTGTATTTTTGACATAATTTGCCAGTACCAGTACCCTACTACTACTTCTTCTTCTCGGGTAGTCAAATCAGTGAAACTGTCTCATTCATGCATCACATGATTGATAATTGATATAAAAATCAATGTGAGTGAACTGCATATTTGGCATTTCCATGCATACTCCTCTGATGCAGCACTACTGCAAGGTACCTCTGCTAATTGTTCCCATGAAGAGATGGTTAGGATGTTTCCTTTCTGGGACTCAAATGCGGCATAGATGCGCCTAACTATGCTTTACTCCCAGGTCACGCAAATAATTGTGTCAGAAAGTCGTCATTGTCCACTAGCCCAGTCGGCTATTCTCCAACTAACGGTCGGCAAAGATGGTGGTGGCAAAATATCCACCCGAGCCGCGGTCACGGGTCATTGCGCGCTTCTGGCTATTTAATTTACGGTCTTCCCGCAGTTTTCCCGCCAACAACTGCGCTACCGCCTAGTGGCCCCCATGCCGTGGATTGGGGCTAAAATAGATGGCTAGGACTCACGAGCAGCAGCTTCTGCATCTCCTGCAGCTTTGCTCATGAGTCCTAGCTATCTAGTTTAGCCCCAAACCACGCCACATGAGCGGCGTGGGGGCCACGTGGCAGTAGCCATTGTCACAGGAAAAGCGCACATGAAGTAGCCGGAAGCGCGCAATTGACCCGCGACCCCAAGTGCGCAATGACCCGTGACCGCGGCTCGGCTGGATATTTTGTTCCAGTCCGTACAGCTTTGATGCCATTGATGCTGATGGTTATCAGAGTAGCTGCAGACAAGAAGCCTTGCGTAGAGCTAAGGATCGCACACTGAAAAGAGGAAGGTTTTGAATGGTGCAAGCTTAAGACACCATTGGGTGCATGCTTGATCAATTTGAGCAAAAAATGAGTGGGTCGGGTGTCCAAACAAGTTTCAGACTTGTGTAGGCTTCTAATCACTTTAGATTGTGAGTGCAGAGACTGGCCAGCTGGTGCTGCCAAATCAGAAGTTCAAGAAATGATTCATGACTATTTCCACCCAAGTGATGTGATTATCTATACATATGGCACTGTATTGAGGGGCAGACAAAGTGTATTGGGGTTCATAGCAAAGGCGAATGGACGTCCCTTAGTGCAGCAGAGCTTTGCATATGAAATAACAACATCTAGTTTAAGAATGGAGGTGGAGGCAGTCTCTACTACTGCCGCTGGCTTGAGAATCAGCTGTGTACACATGCCGTGATTGTAACTGTCTCACAGAGCATGTTGAGAAAGGTGAAGACAGGCATGCTTCGTGTAGAGTGGCAACCATCACTTCAGAGGTCCTGGGTAGTTAGAATCCTCTGGATATTTTCTCCAGGTCATGCTGGTGTGTTGGGAAATGAGCAGGCAGATAGACTAGCTGGCTCTGCACCACTTGGTGGTGAACTGATGTATGACAAGCTAGATATTGTGAGGACCTTTTGAGGGTGTCGAGACCAGTCAAGAGGAAAGAAACCTGCTTCTTAAATAGGATGTCATCTACTTAATTCCGGACACATAATTGACACAGACACTGCTTTCCTTTTGGTTTACCACACTCTGAACAGGAGACTGGTGAGAATGGCTGCAGCTTTAACAATTAAAATCAACAACCCCCTCCTTTGTAAGCAGACATAATTTATTGTAAATTTGAAGTTACCCTGGTGAGTCACGTGACTATGTGACCTAAACACACATGATGTATATTTTTCAGATGGATAAAAGAAGATTAGCAAAGAAGAAGGAATCAGGCCTTAATGAAGGTATAGCAGGTCGTTATGTCAAAAGGGATACGCCACCTTTGTTGCGAAGTAAGTCAGTGTGTGATTTTATTTTTCATTATTTTTTTTTCAATGCTTTAGGATCATAAACTATCACAGAGAACTGCTGTGCTGTATCAGAGAGCTGCAGTAGAGTAATTCAACCAATCAGTGCTGTATCAGAGAGCTGCAGTTGAGCAGTTCAACCAATCAATGCTGTATCAGAGAACTTAGTGTGTGTGGAAATGTGTAGTATGGTAATATAACATAACTAAACTTGTATATAGAAAGCTGTATAGTCATATAGTATACAGAGAGCTTCAAAAGATTTATACAACTAATGTACAGACTTCCAATCTGTGGATAGGTCAGCTGGCAGTTAATACTTGAAGTGTTATTTGCCTCTGGCCACAGTTTGCTGATGCAGTTTCCCCATTTCTGGACTAGGTGTCCAAAGGCTCCGTCTCCCAGCTACTGAGCTGACTGCTTGTCATGACACTGTGAGCTGTAGATTTCATGCAGAATGTTTATCTTCTCTGCCTGCAGCATTTTGGTGTTGTTGACTTTACAAAAACTGGCAGGTGGCCGATTACGTTTGGACTGGCATGCCTTTCATGCACTGTTGCTTGCATGGATGCTGGTCTGTCCTGATTGATTGCTTCCATCAGCATGAGCTGCAGTCTAGCGGAAGACTGTTAGTGCTGGCACATATAGCAGCTGCCTGGATTGTGCCAGGACTAATCTGTTTTCCATCGGTGTAAAGCATTTAGTGTTATTTCCACTAGCAAAGGAATGGAGCAATTATAATCTCAGCTAGCGATATAAAATATACAGAGAGATATCTTTTTACCATCACTTTGTTTGCAGGCTGCCATATCTTATTACCATCACTTGGTTTGCAGTCTACCATATCTTATTACCATCACTTTGTTTTCAGACTACCATATCTTTTTACCATCACTTTGTTTCCAGACTACCATATCTTTTTACCATCCTTTGGGCCAACAACCACGTCTTATTATCATTATTTTGAGCAACTACCATATCTTATTACCATCACTTTGGGCAGACAACCTTAACTAATTATCTTTACTTTCAGCAACTACCATATCTTGTTACCATCACTTTGGGCAGACAACCATATCTTATTGTCACTAATTAGAGCAAACTACCACATATTATTACCATCACTTTCGCAGACTGCTATATATTACAATTACTTTGTTTATCAGGTATCATATCTCATTACCATCACTTTACTTGCAGACTACCACACTCCTGTGAGGCAAGGAACCTCCTTTCAAAGGATGGGTCGTAACACCAAGCTGCCAGCCTCCTACATTCCTCAAACACAGACGTCCCCAAGCCCAGCAGGTCACATAGCTGCACAGTCTGTCTCAGCATCCAGATCTTCTGTGCCGACATCACCATATGCTGAACCCAGCCCTTCAACTTTCCATGACATTGACAGATATTATGTGGGAAACCAGCCAGTGCAGCATCAGCAGCAGCAGGTGAAATACTCCAACTACCAACATCAGACGGTGGCTGCATCCGGAGGCGGTCAGCAGTCCCCACAAGGTGCACACCAACAGCAGTCACAGCACCAAACTTACCAACAACAGTCTGCACAAGCACAGTTGGTGCCTTCGTCTATGAGTAACTTGACTCTGGGCTTTCAGAATATGAGAGTGACTTCTATCCCAGTGTCACGGACAGATGTGACCTCTGCTGTCACACGAACATATGGTGTGGCTTACTCGCAGCCAGTGAGCGGTATTTCGACTGGGGTCTCCCGTCCGGTGATGAATGTGTCATATTCAGGCTATAACAGCAGTGTTGCAGATTCCCAGCATAAACAGATGTGGTACCCCCAATCAGGAGCTGGCCAGGACGATGCACGTATTCCACACACTGCACTTAGTATTATCAGAGAGGGTGAGAGTCTCCCTCACAAGTAGCTTGATTCCATTGTTGTTGTTTAACTCCTTCATGAGTAGCTTGATTCCATTGTTGTTGTTTAACTCCTTCACAAGTAGCTTGATTCCATTGTTGTTGTTTAACTCCTTCACAAGTAGCTTGATTCCATTGTTGTTGTTTAACTCCTTCACAAGTAGCTTGATTCCATTGTTGTTGTTTAACTCCTTCACAAGTAGCTTGATTCCATTGTTGTTGTTTAACTCCTTCACAAGTAGCTTGATTCCATTGTTGTTGTTTAACTCCTTCACAAGTAGCTTGATTCCATTGTTGTTGTTTAACTCCCTCACAAGTAGCTTGATTCCATTGTTGTTGTTTAACTCCTTTACAAGTAGCTTGATTTCATTGTTGTTGTTTAACTCCTTTACAAGTAGCTTGATTTCATTGTTGTTGTTTAACTCCTTTACAAGTAGCTTGATTTCATTGTTGTTGTTTAACTCCCTCACGAGTAGCTTGGTTCCATTGTTATTGTTTAACTCCCTCACAAGTAGCTTGATTCCATTGTTGTTGTTTAACTCCCTCACAGGTAGCTTCATTCCATTGTTGTTGTTTAACTCCCTCACAAGTAGCATCATTTCATTGTTATTGTTGTTTAACTCCCTCACAGGAAGCTTGTGGTGCAGTGATTTCAGTCACAGATGATGGAAGTCCAGTGGAGATACTCTGTACCTCACCTACAGCACCAGCCTTGTCTATGCTGGTTTTACAGAACCTTATCCAAGAATCCTGCTGCACTTCCTTGTCTATGCTGGTTTTGCGGCACCTTATGCAAGAATTTTGCTGCACTTCCTAGTCATGCACCACAGATTATGTCTCAGTTGAACAGTTTGTTCCAATCTTACCAGATAACCAAACCATTTGATTCTTTGATGTTCTACTGTTAGTGTTGTCAGCTAATATGTTAGAAGAAGCACACCAGAAGGAGACAATCTACATTCTTGGGTCATGTCAGTAGAAGGAGGAAACTGGAGTACATCATGACAGTGGGAAAGTTGGCGGGGAAGAGAGAGAAAGAGACACACACACGGAGAGAAAGGATGCTAGATTTTGACATCATAACATGGGAGATCATCTAGGTAAGCATTGATTGAAAGTACACGAGACAGAAGGTTGAGGACAGACATGACTACCAACGCCACACGGCATGGACTATAGAGGATCGTCTTTTTCAGAGTTGATTAAAAATACACGAGACAGAGGGTTGTGGATTGACATGACTACCAGCGCCACACAGCATGGACTATGGAGGGTCGTCTTTGTCAGAGTTGATTAAAAATACACGAGACAGAGGGTTGTGGACAGACATGACTACCAGCGCCACACAGCATGGACTATGATCAGAAGAAGTATATGAGAAGCACCTGATGCATGTCACTAATTTGTACTGGTAGAGTGGCACACTTCGCTCTCTTCACGGCAGACCTAAAAATCTCTGTCTCTAGCCAATTCTCCAGCCCTGTGTGCTTTCATAACCAGTCATTTTCAGTGTCCTGTTTCCACATTCACGGAGGTTGACCTCTGTCTCATTTTCCAGACACCCTTCCTCACTGTTATCTCCAGATCCACACCACAAATCCACCAGCCACTTTCCCACAAGTGAGAACCCTCATTACGAGAAAATTAGAAACAAAGTAAAGTAAAGGTAAAGGACCCCATTCCTCGCCTTCAAGCATATAGGGCTAGACCTATATTTTATAGACCAGTCGGCACTTGGTAGGTGATGTGGTCAACATCACGCCGGCTGCCTTTACTTCCCAGGGCTGCACCTGGTACCCACTCAAGGCTGGGTCAACCTGAGAACCAAGTCTTTTTTTTTTCTTCAAAAGTCCAACTCCATCGGGACCCAAACCCATGCCGTACTGAAAAACAAACATTGGTTATAACCATGAAAATGATTTCCTCAAACAACTGAACAGAAAAGCCCCAGTCACAGTTTTTCACTTACGTACTGGACACTGCAGACTCAACAATCACTCATATAACTTAGGTATGAGCCAAACAGCTCTCTGTTGGTGTCGTTGCTGTGAACAAACATGGCCTGCAAGACTGTCCTCTTTTGGTGTAGCTGAGGAGCAACATGTGGCCACACCCAGTAGACCTGAAAACTAATCATTGGGGGAACCTCACATACCTTGAGAAGACACCACAGTTTATGGCCTAATAATGATAGTTAAGACCAGAGATTGCTGAAGAAGATTTCCAGACCGCCTTGACGGATGACATGTCCAAGATACCTTAGCTTTAAGGAGAGGATGCCAGTTCTACTGGATGTTCAGGTGGTGTAGGATGCCAGTTCTACTGGATGTTCAGGTCATGTAGGATGTCAGTTCTACTGGATGTTCAGGTGGTGTAGGATATCAGTTCTATTGGATGTTCAGGTTGTGTAGGATGTCAGTTCTACTGGATGTTCAGGTGGTGTAGGATGTCAGTTCTACTGGATGTTCGGGTGGTGTAGGATGTCAGTTCTACTGGATGTTCAGGTGGTGTAGGATGTCAGTTCTACTGGATGTTCAGGTTGTGTAGGATGCCAGTTCTACTGGATGTTCAGGTCGTGAAGAAAGTCAGTGCTTTTATTCTTCTTGGTCCGTGGTCTTCTAAGAAGTTGTCTGCAGCATTTCAGTTTAAAAGCTCCAATCTTCAGAGCACAAATTAACAATTAAACTACTCCGCAATAAAAAACCTTATATATATTGCACCAGCTGAAAATTAAAAGATATTGTAAATAACAGAGTAAATAAGAAACCTTATAGATATTGCACCAGCTGAAAATTAAAAGATATTGTAAATAACAGAGTAAATAAAAAACCTTATAGATATTGCACCAGCTGAAAATTATAAGATATTGTAAATAACAGAGTAAATAAAAACAGGACTTTACAGTTGTTGCTTTTGTTTTGATTTTGGTGCAGGACTGCTGTCAATATACAGAGATGTGACCACAAGACCTTATGGAGAGAGCAATGGAAATGTTGATTGATTGATTGTACTGTGAAGATTATGGGTTTAGTTTGGACTAAGGGTTTAGGTTGTCCAGTACAGGGGTTTCATAGATCCCTGGGGGTCAGCACTGGAGCTTGTTGCTTTGTGTGACACTCTTGGTGGGTGAACAGCCGTGTCAGATAAAACCCAGTGCTCTCAAATTGAACATCTCCCTTCTAACTAAAAAAAAAAATTTGCATTAACTCTTCTACATACAATCAGTAATTATTTGATTATTATCTTACAAGACTACATGCCCTCTTAAAAGATAATAGTATATTTAATATACCTCCAATAATTATTAGATTTGATGTTTTATTATTCTGAATTAGTATAATTTAGAAATTTAGGGATAATTTGAGCAAATTCGCGCATTTGTACCTAATATTTAGTGTTTGTCAGTGTTATTGAATATTACTTGTTGAAAGACAATTGAATGAAACAATGTATGAAGGGGGTGAGGTCAGTAGAGCAGAATGGTGGATGCACTTGCGTCTCTGTTTGTTAATCTTTTAATCTTACTACTTACTTACATAGTTTATCCTCTTCTACCCTTATGTATAGAGGTTTGCAAAAGAGATCGCCAGACTTCGCTATCAGCTGTTTTCTTTTTGGTTCAGTCATCTGTCAGTCAAAGACTGTTAAATGTTTCCATGGGTTATCCTGGTGGTCTGGTTTCCTGGTTCTTGGCTTCCGTACCTGCCATGGTGGCTGATTTTCTCCCATTCTGCATACACATCCAAACCTTCGTAACTAACTGATCCACTTGAGTTTCTAAAGCCTGGGTTTCAAGATCATGACGTATTGTACTTTTTGAACATAAAGACTTAATTCTTGTATCCCTTAGATGACAATCCTGAATCCCAACCATATTACAAGTACACAGGAGCCACCAGCAACAGTAGCAGCGGCAGCAATGCAAGCAACAATGTTGGTGGCATCAGCAGCAACAACGACTACTACAACCTCCAGCAGTTGGAAGAGAACTACCAGATAGCCCAATACCACCAGGAGATTCGGAGCCACTACGCACAGCAGAACCCAGGCGGCAACCTGCTCGGCAAAGGCATGTTTGGGATGGTTGCCAGCGACCTTGTCGAGCTGAAGACCCAAACTTCTCCTGTCACTTCATCTGGCAAGTCATGGTTTATGTTTATCTTTTCATGGTTTGTTTTTGTTATTGCCTTTCAGCCGTGGAACATAATATTGCCTAATTAATCCACACAGCAGCTAATGCTTTTTGGGATTTACTTGGAGCTTACATTCAAGAGAATCAACTTAATTGCACTGGGGTTTACCCCAGACTCCCTGCAGAACAGATAGCCACCTGCCAACAGTGTCGCACGAAGCATGAATACTGTAGCTCCAGCGATGATCTCCAGGGATCTTTATACAAACTGCGCTCATAAACTGAATGCCACCTCCCTGTAACAAACCCTTCAGGGTACAAGGCAGATGGCTGGACCACTGGGCATCGAGGCCCCCAACTTCCTGTAAGTGATGCTGCAGTCAAGTGTACAAGTTTACCTCCAGTTTTGTGTTTGTCTCTTCATGTTTATTTGTTATCTGCCAGCCTGGCAAGGGTATTTCATTATTTATTTCTGTTGTTCTGATTATTTCTGCCTTCCCACTCTGGTGTAATTTAATTGTAATGGTTTGTTTGTATCTTTTCACTCAAATAATGCAGATACAAACTGTACATTTCACTGTTTTATTACCTGGCATATTTTGCTGTGTTCATCTAATGCCTTATTAGAGTTGCGTCAAGATATAATGAAGCACACAAAAACTGAATAAATTCTGCTTGTTTTAAAATTCTTGTAATGTTTATTTCTCTCTTCCTTCTCCAGTATTAGAACCTGTTATGCTGTATGGCAGCAAATCTTGGAATGTCACTGAACAAATTAAGAAGAATTTTGAAGCAACAGAGATGTGGTTTCTAAGACGAATGTTACGAATACCTTGGACGGCCAGAGTAACTCTTGAAAGAGGCTAATGATTTCTACATACAACAATAAGAAAAAGACAAACACTGTTCCTTGGCCACATAATGAGAAGAGAGACATTTTAGAACATTGTGACAACTGGAAAGATCAGTGGAAAAAAGGGTAGAGGCAGACCAAGAGAGATGATGCTGGAGGGGCTGAAACGATGCCATGGAGGGATATCATCAAGCGAGATGTTCCAGGCAACCAGGGATCGTGATCTGTGGAGACGCATGAGCGCCTACGCCAGTTGGCAGGGCACATGGTGATGATGATGATGATATACTCAGCTGTGCTTTTTCTGTAATGATTTGTATGTGTCTTCTTATGTTAATTTCTCCTTTCCTACTAGCCAGGATAAGGCTAAACTTTGTGGCCTTTAATCCTTTGAGACATAACACACTAGACTTGTTATGGTGGTTGTTATTTTATATATATATAACTCTGTGCAGGTGTGGGTAGCTACCTGTCACAAGAAGAGTTGCCCCTACCCCCTGGGTGGTCCATCGACTGGACAGTCAGAGGCCGCAAGTATTACATTGACCACAACACTCAGGCCACACACTGGAGCCATCCTTTAGAGAAAGAGTCATTGCCTACGGACTGGGAGAGAATTGAATCAAAAGAAAGGGGGGTTTATTACTACAAGTGAGTTCCTTCTTCCTCTTCTACCGTTTATTCCTCTTCTGCTCTTGAATCTCCAGTGGAGCATAGACCCCCAACCAGGTCACACCAGTTCACCCTTTCCTTTGCTGTAGTGTGCTGCTCACCACATTTCCTTCCCTCCCCCTCCCCTTTTTTTTTTACTCTCTAGTTTACTTCTCCATATGTGTTTTGTTTTTTTCCAGTTTGATCTGCCTTATTTCTATGCCCCTGATTGTTCCATTGGCAGTCTAGTTATATTGTTCTCATGTTTTCTCACAGTTTGTCCTATCCAACAACAGCATCTTTTCTTCCCTCATGTTTCAGTAAAGTTGGTCTATTTCTCTCCAAAGCTCAACGTTAGTGATTCAGCCGTAGCATTTCATTCCCTCCATTCTGTGCAGGTACTAGCTAATTAATGTTTGTAGTTTATTGATAATTCTTTTAGATGTTCTGCATGATCCAGATATTCTTCTTCTTAGCATTCCCTGTCTGAAAAATCTGACGTAAATGACTTGTTGTTTGTCTTGGACTTTGATATTGTTCCAGTAATAGTAATTTTAAAAAATAAGACCACAAGAAGAAAAGATGCAAGAAGTAAAAAACAGAAGTCATCAATATGAGGAAGTTACATGACAACACTGTCAAGTTGAATTGAGTTGAGTCTAGAAATGACATCACAGCACTCGGGGCATTCCCATGTGTACACCGTCCTCATCTTCAGCAGCCCGCGCAGAGTTCCAGTACTGATGGTACCGGTCACAATCTGGTTACATGTCCGTAATAACACAGTCAAAAGTCAATTTAAAGAAGACATCAAAAAGCTGTTTAATAACCTTCCTGCCGAGTACTCAGATGTACAGAATGAATGGGCAACCTTTAAATCTGCTTTACTCAACACTCTTAAAAACAAATGTAGAACCAAAAAAGTAGGACTAGACAAACGATTAAGAATGGCATGGTGGAATAACGATGTCAAAGGTATCATTTCTAAAAAAAGAAGGAAGCATACCAAAACAAAATGAGTTCAATCAAAATGTGAACAAGATTATGTTACAAATAGATTGATAAGAAGAGATGCAAAATGAAAGATCAAAACGTTCGGAGAGCAGATGGCCACACTTAGTAAAAGTTACCCTAGAGAATTTTACAAACAAGTTGAAAATATGAGAACAAGAGATAAGTGCTATAATCCATCCAAAATTATAAACAACAAGAGAGGCAGTCATGTATTTAATCCACATCAAAGGCTAGCAGGATGGACAGAATATTTTACAAAGCGACTCCTGAAGACGAGGTAGATAACATCAGTTTTATGCCTCCAGCATTAACCAAATTTTTTAACATCAGAAGTAAAAGCTGTTATACAGAAGAGCCCTAAAAGCAAAGAACTTGGTTTAGATGGAATAACTACAGAAGCTATTCAAGCTTGTGGTCAAACTGGTATCAAATGGCTAACAAGAATATTCAATCCAGCATGGGAAGAAAGAAAAGTTCCACCTGACTGGCAGCAGGCATTGATAATACCAGGTAAGAAAAAAAATAAAAGGTAATACAAGAAACGGTTCATTGTACCGAGGTATATCATTCTTAAGCCACATAGGAAAAATGTATGCTAAAATATTAGAACAGAGTGTTAGACCTATAGCGGAACAGCACCTGAGTACATCACAATTAGGTTTCAGGAAAGGAAAAGGTTGCACAGATGCATTATTAACACTAAGACAAGTGTGCAAGACAACCATTGAATACGAAGATGAACTGAACATTGTGTTTGTTGATCAAGAAAACGTTTTTGATAGAGTAGATAGACACAAACTATGGGCCATTCTTTAGGATTATGGGATTCAAGGACAGTTGCTAGAGAAAATCATTGCCATATACCACACTTCCCTAATCACAGTGAGAACACAAGAAGGCACGTCTGATATGTTTACAGTCAATACAGGGGTAAGACAGGGATGCATGCTCTCTCTTCTCTTATTTAATATATACATAGATAGAATATCCAAAGAAGCCCGTTTTAAAGCAGTCAAGCCAGAAATTGAGGAACTGTACCTTCCAGGGAAGAAATTAGATCCACACACAATAAAAGAGCTACTGTTTGCAGACGATTAGTGCCTGTTCTACAGTGAGGGGAGTAGACTACAAGACCATTTAAACAGGCTGTTCAACATGCTGAAGATTTAACATGAAAATAAATACTACTACAATTGAAGTCATGCTGGCCAGTGAAAAACCTAGTCTACTACATATCAGGTTGAATGGTACTGTCTGAAACAAGTTAAAGAATTTAAATATCTAGGACGTATGTTTTTGGAGAGCTGAAGAATAGGTCAGGAAATAGAAACAAGATGCCAACAGGCCAGTGCACTTATATACCAACTGACACCGTTATTAAGGCATCCAAACATAACATGAAAGCTAGCATAAACACACTGTGCAACCAGTACTCTTTTCAGGACAAATAGAAACATGAGCGTGAAGTTTCGAATGGATGAAAGAATGTCTGCACTGAAGTATTTGCCAGAATTTGAAACTGATAGTAATCAGACCAGACTTTTATGCAGATTAAAAGCAATGTATTATTTATCTTTCTATCACTCCAGCCACATAACTCGCACAGCACAATACCACCACCCCTGTAGTCCCGTACCTGATGTTGTCCTAGGTTACGGGGTGCTCACCGTCCCTGACAGACTCCCCCCTCACCTGGAGTACAGACAGAACAATCAGCTGGTCCCAGCCAACCCGTATTTAAATACAGGTAAGGTTTTATGTACAGGTGTGTCTTTTCCCTTTCTTCTCACTCTTACTTTCGAAGTCATAGTTTATGTTTATAAAATTCATTTAAGTCTTTAACTCTTTGAGTCCCAGTGGGTTTAGCATCACAGGCCCAAGGGGTAGTCAAAAAAGACGTAAAATTGGCGCATCATCCGTTCACTGGGCTTCTAGGCAGTAACCTATGAACGTATGATGTGTTCCTTGGGACTCAAAGAGTTAAAAGATTTTGGAATAGTTAAAATCTGGTCAACCAGATCAGGGAAACCCCACCTAAAATTGGTAGGAAATGTTATGTAGTTTAAAGGTACAGTATACAGGTATTGTAGTCATATGCTCATCATGCTTTATAATCTACTGATATGTCTTGCATATTTGTTTTTCATTTCTTGCAGTTTTTAAGATAACAACAAAGTATTCAAATATTCAGAGCCATCATAATTTAGACCAAGCAGAAAATACATTTCAGAAATTGAAACATTTCTTATGATCTTACGTCAGATGTTAAAAAGTATATATAGAAGACAGTCATTTCACTGAATTCAGAGAGTTTGTAAATGTTATGTTGAACTTGATCTCTGGAGATGTTAAAAAATATATATATAGAAGACAGTCATTTCACTGAATTCAGAGAATTTGTAAATGTTATGTTGAACTTGATCTCTGGAGATGTTAAAAAATATATATATAGAAGACAGTCATTTCACTGAATTCAGAGAATTTGTAAATGTTATGTTGAACTTGATCTCTGGAGATGTTAAAAAATATATATATAGAAGACAGTCATTTCACTGAATTCAGAGAGTTTGTAAATGTTATGTTGAACCTGATCTCTGGAGATGTTAAAAAATATATATATAGAAAACAAGTCATTTCACTGAATTCAGAGAGTTTCTAAATGTTGTGTTGAACCTGATCTCTGGAGATGTTAAAATATATATATATAGAAAACAGTCATTTCACTGAATTCAGAGAGTTTGTAAATGTCATGTTGAACCTTATCTCTGGAGATGTTAAAAAATATATATATAGAAAACAGTCATTTCACTGAATTCAGAGAGTTTGTAAATGTTATGTTGAACCTGATCTCTGCAGATGTTAAAAAATATATGTATAGAAAACAGTCATTTCACTGAATTCAGAGAGTTTGTAAATGTCATGTTGAACCTGATCTCTGGAAATGTTAAAAAATATATATATAGAAAACAGTCATTTCACTGAATTCAGAGAGTTTGTAAATGTTATGTTGAACCTGATCTCTGGAAATGTTAAAAAATATATATATGGAAGACAGTCATTTCACTGAATTCAGAGTTTGTAAATGTTATGTTGAACCTGATCTCGGGAGATGTTAAAAAATATATATATAGAAAACAGTCATTTCACTGAATTCAGATAGTTTGTAAATGTCATGTTGAACCTGATCTCTGGAGATGTTAAAATGTATATTTAGAAAACAGTCATTTCACTGAATTCAGAGAGTTTGTAAATGTTATGTTGAACCTGATCTCTGGAGATGTTAAAAAATATATATATAGAAGACAGTCATTTCACTGAATTCAGAGAGTTTGTAAATGTCATGTTGAACCTGATCTCTGGAGATGTTAAAAAATATATATATAGAAGACAGTCATTTCACTGAATTCAGAGAGTTTGTAAATGTTATGTTGAACCTGATCTCTGGAAATGTTAAAAAATATATATATGGAAGACAGTCATTTCACTGAATTCAGAGTTTGTAAATGTTATGTTGAACCTGATCTCTGGAGATGTTAAAAAATATATATATAGAAAACAGTCATTTCACTGAATTAAGATAGTTTGTAAATGTCATGTTGAACCTGATCTCTGGAGATGTTAAAATGTATATTTAGAAAACAGTCATTTCACTGAATTCAGAGAGTTTGTAAATGTTATGTTGAACCTGATCTCTGGAGATGTTAAAAAATATATATATAGAAGACAGTCATTTCACTGAATTCAGAGAGTTTGTAAATGTCATGTTGAACCTGATCTCTGGAGATGTTAAAAAATATATATATAGAAGACAGTCATTTCACTGAATTCGGAGAGTTTGTAAATGTTATGTTGAACCTGATCTCTGGAAATGTTAAAATATATATATATGGAAGACAGTCATTTCACTGAATTCAGAGTTTGTAAATGTTATGTTGAACCTGATCTCTGGAGATGTTAAAAAATATATATATAGAAGACAGTCATTTCACTGAATTCAGAGAGTTTGTAAATGTCATGTTGAACCTGATCTCTGGAGATGTTAAAAAAAACCTCCTTTCTTCCTCAGAAATACCAGAATGGTTACTTGTTTTCTCCAAAGCCCCCCATGAGCATGATCACAAGCTGAAAGTAAGTTATCTTCTTCTTTGTTTCACCTGGACATGATATTGTTCACCTTGTATCAGTTTTAATCATTTTGTCACAGGAATGAAAAAAACTGAGTCATCAAAAAATATTTTACAAGGTCACTTCTAATTTAATTTTTTTTATATATCCGTGTACATTTAAAAAAAACATTTTTTAAAATTTGTTTACAGATGTATAAATGGTGTAATCAATAAACACGAATAGAGTGAAAGATTACATGGGATTCATTATCTGGAGCCTTAAAATAAATGTTGGGAGCTCATGCCTTAACACCGTAAATTAATCACTGAGGTTATGGGAAAATTTGATGTCAACACGACTTTGAAACAGTCATTTCATTCACAAGAAAATCCCATTAAATGCTATTTTTAGTAAATATACACTTATCCTGACCTTGTAAACCCTGCGCTGGTGCACAAAACAACCAGTATCATAAATTAGAAGTATTGTAAACACATCTATTAGAGAAATTCTGGAACAGCGGCGGCAGTCTCCGGAATTGGACCCTAGAGGAATTGCTGAGACTCCAGACTTTTGATACTTCAACTGTAAAGGTTTGTACTTTAGGATAGCAATCTTTGAGTCTTAATCTTCTAGGATGTTTAGAAAAGTTAGTTAATAGAATGAGTTGGCTGAGGACCTGTGCTGCATTGGGGGCAGAAGAAGAAAAGTAGTAGTTAGTTGATAGAATGAGTTGGCTGAGGACCTGTGCTCCATTGGGGGCAGAAGAAGAAAAGTAGTAGTTAGTTGATAGAATGAGTTGGCTGAGGACCTGTGCTCCATTGGGGGATAGAAGGCAGAAAAAGAAGAGAAGTTAATTAGTTGACAGATTATCTTTATTAAACATCGAACCATTCATCCCATAAGTGCTCAGCTCCCATACTCAGTAAATGCTGCAGTGTGTAGCGGCTGCCGACACCAGTCCTTTGTTAGTTTTTCATTCTTCTTCGGCTTGCTGCATAGTGCTATTGTCTGGCCAGATCCTTGTTAAAATATTGTTCTTACAGTCTGGTTATGGCTTCATATTCAGTCATCACTTGGTTCTCCCAAATGTCTTACTTCTCGTAGAGTATTCAGAATATCAGCTTGGTCCATGGCCCGTCCATACCTGCAAGCCTATCAGCTTGCTCATTTCCTTGCACCCCTGGGTACCCTGACATAAATATAGAACTGATATGTCTCAGGCCTGAGCACCTCAGAGACTCCAACCACTATCTTCTGACTCAGCCCATCTGACTTCCTGAGCTGCTGATTGAGTCACAGAGAAAACATGCGTGGCTAAAGGTCTGTGTCTCCAGCCATGATGTTGATTTGTCTCTTGTTGTTGTCTATGGTTGCTCTTCACATGGTTGAAAAGCTTTGCTGCCATGTTGTTTTCTGTGGTTGCTCTTCACATGGTTGAAAAGCTTTGCTGCCATGTTGTTTTCTGTGGTTGCTCTTCACATAGTTGAAAAGCTTTGCTGCCATGTTGTTTTCTGTGGTTGCTCTTCACATAGTTGAAAAGCTTTGCTGCCATGTTGTTTTCTGTGGTTGCTCTTCACATAGTTGAAAAGCTTTGCTGCCATGTTGTTTTCTGTGGTTGCTCTTCACATAGTTGAAAAGCTTTGCTGCCATGTTGTTTTCTGTGGTTGCTCTTCACATGGTTGAAAAGCTTTGCTGCCATGTTGTTTTCTGTGGTTGCTCTTCACATAGTTGAAAAGCTTTGCTGCCATGTTGTTTTCTGTGGTTGCTCTTCACATAGTTGAAAAGCTTTGCTGCCATGTTGTTTTCTGTGGTTGCTCTTCACATAGTTAAAAAGCTTTGCTGCCATGTTGTTTTCTGTGGTTGCTCTTCACATAGTTGAAAAGCTTTGCTGCCATGTTGTTTTCTGTGGTTGCTCTTCACATGGTTGAAAAGCTTTGCTGCCATGTTGTTTTCTGTGGTTGCTCTTCACATAGTTGAAAAGCTTTGCTGCCATGTTGTTTTCTGTGGTTGCTCTTCACATGGTTGAAAAGCTTTGCTGCCCTGTTGTTGTCTGTGGTTGCTCTTCACATAGTTGAAAAGCTTTGCTGCCCTGTTGTTTTCTGTGAGCTCTTCCTGCTGTAGCAGTTAGAACATTTGTTTGCTTTGTTGCAGCTCATATTAACGTGAATAAAACATACCTAATTCTTTCTGTTGTTTCCACTGGGAGTTATTCATGGTTCTAGAACTCGGGAGTTTTTCATGGTTCTAGAACTCGGGAGTTATTCATGGTTCTAGAACTCGGGAGTTATTCATGGTTCTAGAACTCTGCCACCTTTGATTTCTGTTGTTCATACTATCACGGTTAAAAAAAAAACTTTTTGTCCTGTTGATACATTTTGTTTTATGTAGAAGCTCTTTACACTAACACAGTTAGAAAATCTTCTTGTCCTGTTGCAATTTTCAGACTGCTTCTTCTTCTTCTGCCTTTCTATCCCCCAATGGAGCATAGGCCCTCAACAAACTCACGCCTAGTTGTTCTATCCTTCGCCATTGCATTGAGCTCTCCCCATGTCCTCCCCATCTTTCTAACCTCATTCTCCAGCTCTCTTCCCCATGTGTTTTTTGGCCTTCATTAATTCCTATGCCCCTGTGGGTTCCAATGCAAAGACGTTCTAGTTATGCTGTTCTCCTGTTTTCTCAGTGTGTGTCTTATCCAACGTCAGCGTCTTTTCCTCACCTCTTGGTCCACTGGAGCCTGTTTAGTTCTCTCCCAAAGTTCTACATTAGTTATTCTATCATACCATTTAACTCCCTCTATTCTGCGCAGGCACCAGTTAATGAATGTCTGTAATTTATTAGTAATTGCCTTGGTTGTTCTCCATGTTTCCGCCCCATACAATAGTACTGATTTGACATTAGAATTAAATAAATTTAAATAAATTAGAATTAAATAATTTCCAGACTGCAGTATTAGATAATTGTCTCTCATGTTTCAGTGGGAACTCTTCACACTGTCACAGTTAGAAAACTTTGCTGCCTTGTTGATTCGACTCTACAAGCAAGACTTGGAGCGGATTGTCATGAGTTATGAACGCTACCGCAATGCCTTAAACCGAGAGTGTGAGCGGCGCAAGAAGGAGCGGCAACAGCAGCAGACATTAGCCATCACAAATGTTCCATATCAGTCTTCGGTTATCCAGCAGCAGATGATGCATCCATCTTTGCAGCAGCAGTACCAGTTTAAACAGTCTCAGTTCGCTCAAGCACAGCAGCAGCAGCAGCTCCAGCAGACAAGTCAGCAGTCTCAGAATCAGCAGTCTCAAAATCAGCAGTCCCAGAGTCAGCAGTCTGCACTAATGTCTCAGAACGTTGAGACAAAAGTGTGATGTCACGTGTCCTGAAACTGTTGTTTAAAGACTCAAACAAAAATGGGACACTGCATTTTTAATACTCAATCAAAAGATTAATTTGTAATTTTGAAGCTGTCATTTGAATAGTAATCAAATGTGTCAGTTGTGATGTCTTGACACTGTTTTTAATACAGAAAAGTGACATTTGTCATTTAATGATGACACTGTCTTTTTTAATGCTGAAAATGTGTCATTTATGATATCTTGACAGTGATTTTAATACTCTATCAAAAATATCTTATGTTGTTTCTTCTCTCCCCCCCCCCCCCCCCACATCCTCCTCCTCCCATCCCGACCCCAGCATGTTGTGAAAGACGACTAATTAGGGTTTTGATCAGATCGGACGTGTTGGTTTGAAAGGCAAGGACATAGCAGGCTTTGGAGGTCAAACATAGAAGCAGAAACTTCACAAATCGCTTGTGGTATTTATCTCTTCTATGTTGGTTTGAAAGGCAAGGACATAGCAGGCTTTGGAGGTCAAACATAGAAGCAGAAACTTCACAAATCGCTTGTGGTATTTATCTCTTCTATGTTGGTTTGATATTTGGGTTCTCACTACTGAAACAAAACACATGATTAAGGCCTTTGAATACATGTGCTTTAGGGCATTCTTTCCTTTTTGAGGGTTCTCTGACCCCAAAAAATGGGGTCCTCCCAAAATGGGGTCCCAGAACTCACATTAGCAGTTATATTTTGTTGATTGTGTGGGTCGTGAGTGAGGCAGTATTTTACCTGTCATAACATGACACCCATTTAAAAATTAAAAAATTGCACTCATATTTTGACTTAAAAACCAACTTAAGTCCCTTTGTAGAAAACACAGACTGTCTAGAACCTTCTGTTGGGTTTTATAAAAGTCCATTAGAGACAGCCCCTCTGGGAACTAGCTGTCTCATGCTAGGTATGTGTGCCAGGTTGGCATGAGATGTGATCAACATTGACATAATGTTTATAATTTAATTATAATTACATATACTGCTCCTTCCATGAAGGTTACTAAATGTGTTTAATAATTTCATGATCTTTTAGTTCCAGATTTTGATTTCCGCAGTAGGCAGTTTTTGTTTTGTTTTTTAAACCGTTCTCATAGCTTTGTGACAGTGGTATGAGAATCATACCCTGGAAGAGATTGGGGTCTTGCCATGTAATATTTCCAGAGACTGCTCTGTATGAAGGTAGCCCAGAATTTCATTGAATAATTACACTATCCTCATCAATGTCATGTTGGTAAGTGCAATCGTGGTACCCCATCTCAAACTGTTCCCTGTCTCTGAGCAAGTGTTTGTTCTTGTTTAAGTTTTACCATGTGGACATGCCATCCATGTATTTATCTCTTTGTCTTCCCTGGCTTTTTCCCCATTAAGTTTACGAGTTGTCACAACGTTTGCAAGTTCATTTCTATGTTAACAGAAAATGTAACTACATTACTGTACATATGGTTGCAGCATTTAAGCATTTTCATAGTTGTTTTTCAGGTTTCTCCTCAAAATGTGATAATATTTGTACATGTGTATCTTTGCGTGTGTAAATTTCAAAGGATATTATCAGTCTGGGTATCATTGTTGTGTGATAATATCATGTGTTATTTGTCAAGTAGTATATGTGCGTGCTATTGTTGTGTGGTAATATCATTATGTGTTATTTGTTAAGTAGTATATGTGCGTGCTCTTGTAGTGTGATAATATCACTTCTATGTTGTAATACTGGTGTGTGAATCATCAAATAGTAATGGTATGTGTATGTTTATCATTCAAAGAGAATAATTTTAGTTAGTATCATTACAATTGAGCATCACATCGAGCGAGGAAAATACTGAGCTTTTATTTCGGGAGACCCAATTAATTTGCCTTTTTTCCTTTCAGAGCAAAAACAAAACAAAACAAATATTAAAACCTGTACAGTTTCAGATGTTGTACCAGCGTTGTGGCCATGAATAAGAGGTGGGCAAATGATGATGATGGCCTACGGGGCGAAACTGGCCTGTAGAGCACATTTTTACTGGCCCGCGAAGCCTGTGTAAAACTACTGTATAATCTGGCTCTTGGCGCTCATTTGTATGATTTATTTCTGCAAATAACTGGCTTGAACAGGCAAATTTAGGAATATATAGAAGAGCTTCAGTGGTTGAATGTGTCTTCATCAGAGGCTTAGCGAAGGTTTATAATCTTGGATTGTCCAGCAGAAATATTGTGTTGTAAGAAACTCTGGGTTTGTAATGGATTGTTGTCTATTTAACCCGCACACACACACACACACACACACACCAGGTTGGTAATTCTCAATTTCACCTGCAGACTAAAAATAAAAATCTCCACCTGTGCCCTAAATCCTTAGGCTCAGGTCCCTTCCTTGCTATGGGCAGTAAAGATAGCTTTAGTATTTATAAATGATTGATAATATCAGCTTAAGTATCATTAAAGGGATATTATATTACGAGTATCATTAATGAGATACTACTGTCTATTATAAAGAGCTGCTGTGATGTAGCACCTAGATTCTCGCCTGCAGATCCGAAGGTCATGGGTTTAGGTCCTGGCGGAGCCAGACTTTTTTTCCTTCAAAAATGACCTTGTCTGCCAGGTCAACCCAGCCTTAAATGGGTACCAGGTAAAGACCTGGGAAGTTAAGGCGGCCGGCGTGATGGTGACTACATCGCTCACTAAGTGTTGATTGGTGAATAAAAATATGTGACTAGCCGTATATGCCCAAACGCCTGAAGGCGGGGGAAAAGGGTCCTATACTTTATCAGTGAGGTACTGTCTTGTATCCTTCAGTCGTTATAATGCCTGTACTTGTATTATTGATGGATGATAACATCAAGTAGTATCATCCATGATTTATAATATCCCTGTGTGGGTTCCAGGGCCCCATTGTAGGGAAAACAAGAATAGACCCACTGCCTACCCAAAATTATGTTGTAATAGTCGACTAATTGGGAGCTTTCTTCCAAGTCGGAGTGCATCTGCCTGAGAGGCAAGGAACCAATAGTCTGCATACAAATAAGTCAGATCTGTAAAATGGATGTGCATGCAACACTCAGGTTCTGGAACAAGTCTAAAGTCCAGAGGTGGACGAACAACCAGAACTTTCCACCAGAGCTTACAGCCGGTAAGTGTGAAGAAGAAGAAGAAGTTTTCTAATAATCACCATAATAACAGACCCCCTTCCACACCTTCAGGTGTATTGGCCGTATGATGCTACAATATTTTACAGACTGGTCGACACACGGCCCGTGATTTGGTCAACATCATGCCGGCCGCCTTGACTTTCCAGGACTTTACCCGGTACCCAATCAAGGCTGGGTCAGCCTGGTAGCCAAGGTTATTTTCTGTTCAGATTTGAACCCATGGCCTTGGAATCCGCAGGCAAGTGTCTAGTCACTACACCACGGTGGCTCATTATCGCATATTATTGCATGATGTCATTATGTGTATCATAATTGAGCGATATCACTATATATATATATATATATATATATATATATATATAAACCTTCAGTTTTTCTATGCACCCATGTGATGCATTTTGGTGGAATTGTGTATCATTATGTTATATTATCGTAATCAGTGACACTGCACATTAGGTATTGCCTGCATGCTCAGTCCTCCCATGCAGCAGTCACTCCCAGGTGCCTCTACTCATTGTTCCTGTCTCGGCCTCGAAGGTGGTCTAGTGGTGTTTCACCATGCTTTACTCCCAGGTCACACAGTCATGTTAGCGTCAGAGATTTGTCATTATCTTCTAGCCCAGGCCCCACAGCGTTGATGATATCTACTCTGTCCATGTTTTGTCCTGCATACGTTGTTGTGTGATTGTGAATGATGGTACGTGTATCTTTTTAGAGTGATAAGTATCCAACTGTATATTATTAAACCTGGTTTTATCGGTGTGCATCAGTGAAACTTGCTTTTATCAGCGTCACAGAAAGATGTTGTTGTTTGGCTTTTATGTGTATTACATAAATATGATAAATAACATCACCTTTATAATTCATTTGATAAAAATCATAACATCATCGTATGGTATCATTAAAACAGTAGTGTTTGAGGTTTGAACAACGGATCAACATCATGGCACATGGCTAGTAACCCATAAGTCTGAGTCCGAAGAAGCTCAACACAGGGCACTGGCTCTGTAGCATCGGAGGGGGTCCTAAAATACTTTGGCTAGATTTTTAACTCTAAATTTTGCCTGGGCAGCTCTGTTAGGCTACTTATTTCAGTTTCCAACTACCAAGGGATTTTTTATGTGCGTAGCAATGCTCACGTGCGTCCAATCTCACTACCCAGAGACCAGGGGGGTATTGCAAGAAGTCCAAGTCCACGTGAAACAATCTCAGCCCTCGCCGGGGATTGAACCCGGAACCTCTAGCACTTGATGCGGACACCATACCTCGAGACCACGCAGGCCCCCTCCCCCTCCCAAAACAGCAGTATGTGGCACTCAAGTATGTTAACATAAATGTGTGTATTAATTTGTGATATTATGTTTATGTCTAACTATATGTTTTCCGGCTTCTACATAAAAATGTGATAACAGAGTGTGTTCACAAAATAGTGTTGTTATTTCCAAGACTGCATTTTTGAAATAAGCAAACTTCATGTCTGGAATGTATTATGCTTATCTTTTTTACTTGTCTAATAAAGGCTGACAGATTTGTGGAACAAAAACAGGGGAGACAGCGAGAGAATATTCTTCTTGTTGTCTTAAGAGTTTAGCTTCGGACTCAAAGCAGGGAACCTGAATAAACGAACAAACGTTACTTTCAAAGGGTCAGAAAAATTTCATGAAGATTCATCTAAAAAGGTCATCTGTGTTTAATTAATTTGACTGTTGATCACAGAAAGTTTACTGATCAAATCCCCAAAAAATGTCCGCTTTCTTTAATATTTTTTTTTCCTGTACGAGGGCCATTTAAGAATGTATATCCGTCCGTTAGAAAAGCAGCTCATGTGTTATCTGTAGCTTTTCCCCGC